TTGGACCGGCGCATTTCGGGTATGCGGGCGACGCTGCTGGGCCGGCGCCGCAGTTTTTGATTCAGAGGATCGGGGCCTAGCCGGGATGATGGCTGTCTTGGATGAATACTGGACAACAAGATGTAGAGGGTTTGCACAGCCACGACCTCAAGGGCCAGTGTTTCATGTACATACTTTGAATACATTCTATGACTAGTGGGGAGAAGGCTCAATATCATCTTGACGTTGACAGAGTTCAAAGGGGGCTTGCCCTTCCTAATCTACGAAACCCATGATTCCTTGCGTGCCACATTACGCTTCCATGGCGCAGAGTACTGACATCATAAACGAAGACGGATGGTACATTGCCTGGCGCTGGAGCTTTTGAAGGTTTTGTAAAGCGTCATGCTGCCGTAAGCCTCTAGTATTCGGCAGCCATGTTTATTTTGGCTTCCGTTAAATCTTGTGAATGTTGATGCAACTACGTGGTGAAAGGGTTGTAAGCCCTGCCAAGCCTCTCGGCCGACTCGCGCAGCTTGCTGTTCTGCTTCCTCAGGTACATCTTGGAAACGCCAGCCATCGTCAGAGCGAGCGACGCAAATACGATTTGTAAGATCATGGCCATGGTGAAGCGCGGTGCATCTCTGTCAGGGAAGAAGTACGGAGAAATGACGTTGCCGATATGTCCGCAGATGTTGACAATCGCACCACCCGCCGCCCGCTTTTCTGGTGTCTGCCCAAGCGAGGACACAGCCCACGTGTAGACCAGGGCGTTTGCGGAAAAGCTGCCAGACGTGTAGAGAAAGGCTGCCGTATACCGCGCTGCCGTGTTGACCGTGGCGACAGTGATGATAAAGCCAGTGATAGAACAGCAGAGGTTGGCCATGATGTGGAAGCCACGTTCGCGCTTCCGGTCCGAGTTCCATGCAACAAGGAACGAGACTATCGTGCCCCAGACGTAAGGAGGAGCGGTCAAGAGCAGTGAGACGTTGTCAGAACCGAGGTTGAAGCCCCTGACCATGGTGGGGAAAAAGTTATTAAATCCGTACGACGAGGTGATGAAGATGTTCATGAAGATGAAGATGTAACACTTGACATCTGTTACGGCGAGTTTGAGGCCGTGCCAGACGCTCAAGCCTTCTGACTTTTCAACACGGTCGTCAAGGATGCGAGCGACGGCGACCTTGCGCATATCCGAAGTCATCGACCACATGGCGCTGCCATTCTCAGACTGTGGGTAGTTCGGGAGAATAAAGAACGCTGTCAAGGCAAAGAAGGCGCTGGCGGCACCTTCGAGGATGAAAAGCCACTGCCATCCGGCGAGGTTCATGGCACCGTCTAGTCCTGCGAAGACACCTGCGGCAATGAGGCCGGAGAAGGCCTGCGCGAGGACTAACCCAGAGTACAGCAGAGCGGTACGTAGGGCCAATTCTCGACGAGTGTACCAGCAAGACATGAGGAACACGGCCTAAATCAATGTATCAGCGGAGAGGTTGACGGTGCCAAGTCCTGGGAAGACTTACACCTGGGAACAGAGGTGCCTCAATGATTCCGAGAACAAACTGGACACCTAGAAGGCCCCCAGCGCTGGTGCACCCTGCCGTTGCAGCAGAAATGGCAGACCACAACATGGCGGCGGTGGGAAGGTAAACAGCCGGGCGAACACGGGTGATCAACATGTTGGATGGCAGCTGAGCTAACATGTATCCCACTGTTAGGATAGCCACGGCCGTCTGGGAATTATCAGTTTAATCGTCGTGAATTCTTTCAGATCTGACCTACTTGGTAATCTCCATCCTCCAGGCCAAGGTCCTCATCAAAGGTGTTCAGTCGAGCCTGTGCAATATTGACCCTATTGAGATAGTTGAACATGTAGAGAATCCAAAGCTGAGGCAGCATGGTCATATCCAATCTGCGGACAACCTTTTTCTCAAGGTCTTCCCAGTTCTCAAGGCCGAGATTAGCCACATGATTGATATCGAGACACGCATCTGCTTTCTCCTGCTCCTGTTGCGTGACGGTGTGTGACGGGATACTCTCAAGATGCTCTGTGCTATGGGTTTGAGTCCCGGGTGTCGGTTGGGCAGCGGCCTCTCCACCAATATGCGGAGGCTGAGCCTCCTTGTTGTCGGACATATCGATGACAAGTCGTGCCGAATAGCAAAAGAAGAACGGAAGATGAGGTCTGGGTGCCCAAGGTCACCTGGCCAGTGAAAATTTGCGCGGGACTCAATCGATTTGTAGGCGGTCTTAAGATATTCGACGTCATCTTGTCTATACCCGTCGTGTCTCACCGAATTGCCAAGCAGTGGAGAGTGGTGTGCCAAGGCAACATACCCCAGATCATCAAAGCCAATCCATTGCCAAGTGCCAACCAGAGCACCAACCCCGCCGTCATCTTGACTTGCAACCGTGGATAGAAGTATCAAGATCGACCAATTGTGAGCGCCTCATGACACCTAGCCAAGAGGCGGTTGAGACTTCAGGTGGGATGATACCATCGCGGCAGGCAGTGGGTGTGGAGGAGTCGGGCATGACTGACTCTCAACCTGCAATACCACCTCCCATTTATGTTTGACTTGGCCTCCGAGTTAAAGACGTGACGTACGCCTGATCTATGAACGGAGAACAGAAAAACCACCGTAGTGCGATACCAAGACGAAAGATCTACGGGTGGTTGCGCGGAGCTCTAATGCCGAGGACATAACTATTCTCTTTTTTATGGTCCTTGTGTCCAATCAATCAATGGATTAGCCTCCCCTCTCTCGAGCAACAAGCTTTGTCTTCGTCGTGAGGCATCAAATGTTTCGTATTACGGGCAACCCTTACTCCACGGTGGCTCTTTTCCCCTCTGCTACATATCGCCAAGTCCGATCTTTTCCGATGATGCTTACCGCCATGGAAATAATTGACGTGATAACAGTGGGTTTTATGGAGAGCTTCATGTACCTAGATACGGAAAGGAGAGTCAATGAGTCGCGTAAACTTCAGATTGTTTAAAGTAGGATAACGATCCAATCTCGCGAATGAGATGCCAACTGAACAGCGAAGCTGGCAATGTTGACAGGACCACAGTGGATTTCTGAATTATATCCATTTATTCTCCACATGGTAGCCTGATTTCTCCCCGTACTTTGACTTTGGAGTTCGCATCTTCTATCTTGTTGAGAAAGACCTGCCGGATCGGACTTCTTAAGTCTGGCTGGATTGCTCGTCATGCTGTTACGCAACCCGACATCAAAAGCCTAAGGCTTCGCATCTGCACATCTCCGGCAAATTGCGGCTGCAAAATTGATTAGGAAAACTATACAACTATCTAAACCTATCAAAAAGAGGAGTTAAACCCAAGAAAGTGGTAGGACGATGAAAGATTTGCTTCCTATCATGACTGTAGTTGGACTCTGAGCCACAGTATCAGTATTACATTATCTTCCATGGAGGATGGCCTCTTCCTGCTTGAACCTGTACTGATGTCGTGCAATCTTGATCAATCCAACGATGCAAGCCATCTTAATGAGTAGGAGAAAGACAGCATCTCATCATTTCAAGTCTCTGCCATGGACGGAACCACATCGAACAGCTCATAGAACATTGCGGTGATGTTCAAGGTTAACATGCATCGTTATCGAGAACCTTACCCCGCCTATCGACAGTCCTTTATCGCTGGATCGAGCTTCAAAACTTCACACAAGTCAAAAGATAACTACACCGAGAGTTGCGCCAGTCATTTCGTGCAAGAAGCGAATGAGTCATGTCCCCGTCAGCACAGCAGCTTCGTGAGCCACAAGCTATGCAGCAGAGGTGCCTTTGATTTTGTTTAGATTGAACTGGGACAGCCGTGATATGATTCTATTTTGAGGCCCGTATACAATGGCCCAGGATGTCCCTCCATGGAGAACGTCAAGATAGAATGTCAGATTTGAACTTCCAGGCCAGCTATGTGATGTCGCTTGATCGCGCTATATCAGCAAAAGTCTTCAAGTAGGCGGTTTAGCTGGCTCCTTGGCTCCAAAGTTCACGAGACCGTTCTCGGGCCTAAAGGGATAGGACCTCGCGAAATCTACGGACAAACAATTGTTTTGAAGCCATCAGCGAGGGGAATCTCAAAAGCCCTGTCTCGCCATTTGCCCTTACCGAGGCCCTGTATCCGGCAAGCTGCCTGGGCCACCAGCAAGGACGGATGGTTGTCACATGTGCACGTGGAATCCGTGGCTTGAGTGAAGCACGAAGTGTGATAGAGCTCAACGTTTTGAAGGTTCAATAGCGGCAGAGTTCGGGGGGGCTGACCAAGCCTATCGTCAGCTTTGCCCGATGCTTCACATGTAGTATCGTCTCAAAATTATATTAATGATGGACAATGAACCCTTTGCAATGCAGCTTAAGCACTAGATGCATGCCAGACCGAATGTGACTCGTCCTCTCTGTAAACAAGGCTTCGCGGCTCGACGGCAAGGTTCATTCATCTATAAGCCACATGACCATGAGCCCCAGACCGTAGATCTTGATCGCCATACCATTTGATCCAATGAGGGGCTTGTCGGAGATGATATATCCAAACTCAAAACTGCGGAACGGTAGATGCAGAACATTTGCGGAACAGCTAGGATCCAACCGAATTTGATAGGTCGGACGTTATTACCAGTGGTCGCTTGTGTTCCTGGAGTGCTCGTGGGTCAGATTTAGGGGTCGTTGCGCGGAGAATTTGGTGCACACCCACTACGGGAAGCGAGATCCGAGGGGGGTTCAGAATCCTCTGCACGACACCCGGGGCGCTTCCAGCCTATTTTCAACCTTACTATTCTCGCTGAAATCCAGAACGGTTTGCGCCGGAACGGCCACCATCTTCGGAAGGAACATCCACAATGTTAGATGTCTTAAGGGTCTTCGTGGCCCTTTGAGCGATGATATGAGGGGAGATGAAGAGCGAACAAGATCATCATCTGTTTGCTTGATCGTTCCACGCTCACCACCAACAGCTGTCGCATCGTCATTGTTGTGCGCATCGTCTTTCAGCTGTCGAGATGGGCCGCTATATTTCGCAGCTGGACGTTGAGACTGTCCTCGCGACCCTGACGATCGACGAGAAGGTTGGTCATCCAGTCTCATAGCCTTTCATACGGGGCTATCAGTAGAGAGTGAATCACTGACTTGCATACCAGATTACACTGCTTGCGGGCAAGAGCTTCTCCGAATCAGCAGACATTCCCTCAAAAGGCATCCCGTCCATCAAATCCGTCGATGGACCCAATGGCGTCCGTTCAGCGGCCACGGATGAGTTGATACGCTCGGCCTGCTTCCCAGCTGGCTGCTCTCTCGCTGCGACCTTCGACCCCCTCATCGCGCGCCGGACTGGTCGCGCCCTCGCCGCTGAAGCCAGAGGCAAGCGTGCTCATGTCCTGCTCGGCCCGACAGTCTGCATCCACCGCCATCCACTTGGCGGCCGCAACTTCGAGTCTTTCAGCGAGGACCCCTTTCTCGCTGGAAAAATGGCGTCACAGTACATTCTCGGCCTGCAGGAGCGCGGTGTTGGCGCCACCATCAAGCATTTTGTCGCCAACGAACAGGAGACCAAGAGGACCACTGTCGACGAGACCATCAGCGAGCGCACGCTCAGGGAGATCTACCTCAAACCCTTCGAGATTGCCGTCAGGGAAGCAAAGCCTTGGGCTGTCATGACTGCGTATAATCACGTCAACGGACAACACTGCGACAATCACGAGTGGCTGCTGAAGACGGTGCTGCGCGGCGAGTGGGGATGGAAAGGCCTTGTCATGAGTGACTGGGGCGGCACAAACTCCGTGGCTGCGGCGCTTAATGCTGGCCTAGACCTGGAAATGCCTGGACCGCCGAGGATACGAAAACTGCAAGCCGTGAAGGATGCAGTGGCGAAGGGACAGGTGACGGAAGACGTTATCGATGACCGAGTCAGGGCGGTCTTGGAGTGGGCGTTCAAACTCAAGGCATTTGAAGACGAGTCAGACCCCCAAGAGCTGGGCGTGTCGACAGACAAGCCCAAGATGAGATCAATCATACGAGAGTCTGGTGCTAGAGGGATGGTGCTTCTGAAGAATGATGGCGTTCTGCCTCTGAAAAAGGAGGAACTTAAGGGCAAGAGAGTCGCGCTCATCGGCTTTGCCAAGGACGCCCTCGCGCACGGAGGTGGCAGCGCCGCTGTCAACGCCTACTACAAGGTGACGCCTTGGGACGGCTTGCGTGCCGCCCTCGGTGACGGTGTCGAGTTCTCTTTTGCGCAAGGAGCCCACCGCGAACGTCTCTTGGCACCGATCAACAAGGACGGCAGCAGCGGCGCGGTTTTCGGCCTCGATGGACAACCAGGCTTCACGCGTATGCTGTTTGAAGACGGCAGGTCGGAACCCTCAAAGACGAGTCACGGCCAGACCCTGTCAGCGTATTCGCCCCTCGGTTCCCAAGAGTCGCTGTGGCGGGCCCTAGAGATCGTTGCCGACTTTACGCCCCTTGAGTCAGGTTCACACTACATCGCCTGCTCTGGCCTGGGTCCGACACAGGTTTATGTCGATAACCAGCTCATCTGGGAGCAGACGGGTAATTCAAGCGACCCCATGGGCTCCCTTTTCCTGGCGGCCCCCGAGCAAGAGTTCCGGCATCATTTCGAAGGCGGCAGGAAACACCGCCTCCGTATCAGGAGTGACCCTCCTCGCAAGATTGGCCTCGAGATCCTCGAGGGCCGCAGCGGCGTCCGCGTCGGCTTCTCCCTCGAGTCAGTCCATGACGCCGACCTCCAGGCCGAAGCCGTGAGAATCGCTCAGGCAGCCGACCTGGCAATTGTCTTCACGGGTCACGATCCCCAGTGGGAAACTGAAGGCCGTGACCAAGATTCCTTCAACCTGCCACGTGGGCAGAATGAACTCATCGCTGCTGTGACCGCGGCGAATCGCAACACGGTCGTCGTCAACTCGACAGGCGTCGCCGTGGCCATGCCCTGGCTGGACCAGGTGCGAGGACTCGTGCAAGCATGGTTCCCAGGCCAGGAGTGCGGCAACTCGATCGCCGACGTGCTCACTGGTGCTGTCAATCCCGAGGGCCGTCTGCCTGTGACATTCCCCCAGAAGATCGAGGATGCGCCGGCGCATGGAAACTTCCCCGGCGAGTACGTCGATGGGCAGCTGAAGGTGACATACGAAGAAGGTATTTTTGTGGGATACCGCCACTTTGACCGCCTTACGAAGGACAAGGTCAACTTCCCTTTTGGCCACGGTCTCTCGTATACGAGTTTTGAGTATGGCGCGATGGAAGTGGCCAAGACGTCGCATGATAACGATAGCTATGCCGTCAGAGTTGATGTGAAGAACATTGGAAGGGTCGAGGGTGCCACGCTGGTGCAGGTCTACGCCGGCAGGGTGCAGGCCTCGACCGACACGCCGATCAAGGCTCTGGCTGGATTCCAGAAGGTGCGTCTTCAGCCTGGCGAGGTGAAGAGAACCGAGATTTTTGTCTCAGTCAAGGACTTTGCGTCGTTTGATGAGGCCTCGAAGCAATGGGTGATTCAAGGTGGTGAATACGCCATTTCGCTAGGCGAAACTGTGGCGGATATCCTGCAGACCACTGTTGTGCTACTAGAGGCAAAACAGTGGAAGCCATGAGTGCGTTTTCCTCCACCGACTGTTGTAAATCTATGCATCAGGAGGAAATAATACGAGATGATGATCTGAACGACTGTCGGGACACTTGCATTCGGGTGTCGTCGGTCTTTTTTGTATAACCTGATGAAGATGAACGCGGCTTGCTTGTTGCATCGGCCTGCCCTGAATACCCAGGCAGGCCGATTGAGAAGAAGGCAGCGATATGTGAGGAAGCTAAGAGCGCGAACCGAGGACTGCACGCCACTTCTCACTTGAACTCCCTGCCTTGAAATGAAGCGAGGTGCGGTTCTAGAGGGAATAGGCTCGATGATCTCAAGAGTTAGGTTTGTTCGCAGGATCACGGCTGCGAGGATGACGAACCTCGCAAACCGTCAGGCCTACCCTCATTTGCCAGCTCGCATTTCACAAGTCTCCACTCTCTCTAGACACGGGCTGTACAGCCCCTATCGGATTTGCCCTGAGACGAATTCCCCTCCCCCACCGAATCCTTTTAAAGCCTTCGGAGATTTAAGCTGATGCTGCACAATGTAAAGGCTACGCGGCGCTGGTCCTTCAAGTTCGGTCAGAAAACCCACAAAGGCGTGTTTGGGCCTCTAAATGTGACGCGTCGAAGACCGAGCCGACGAATAAGTGCTCGGCCATAAAGCCTCCCTATCCTATATGAAGGATTTCCAGAATCCTAGGCACTGTGAGTGCCGCCGAATTTGCGAAGCCCAAGTGCTGTCGTGTGGGACCATTGTAGTTGGACGGCTCGGACTGTTTCGCCTAAGCTTGCGCGTCCTTGAGAAACCTGCCCTTAAGGAGGATGAACATTTGACAAACTCAGTGTCACTTGGTAGATATATAAGTGTCCAGGTCTGAAGAGATCGATTACCATCAGTCATCCGCAACCGCATCCTCCTCTGCAACTTCTGCAAGCAAGTCTCACCTCCTTAGTACTGTTCTGGCAGTCGTCCTTTCAGCCTTCCAAACGACCAACTCTTTCGCGATCTGGAGTAGAAGGGATTCAAGTGTCTGCCTCTCTCCACAAACAACATGAAGGTCACGATAGCATTGGTAGCTCTATCGTGGCTGACGTGGGTTGCCGCCCATTGCCCTCCCACTGGTGCCGTTCTGCCCAACCTCAAGATCAGGTCGAGCGACGGAATAGCAACAGCTCTCGAAAAAAGTTTGGACAATGTCGTCAAGTCCTGTCAAAACGACTTCAACATCACGACAACGTCTTTCTCGATCGCGATCACTACAACTGATGATACTTTCTTCGAGTTTCACCACACAGCACTGCTTCGTGACGATACAGGCGTCAATACAGTTAATGGAGACACCATTTACCGTTTAGGATCTGTAACGAAAGTTTTTACCGTCTTGTCTCTTCTTTTGGAGGAAGGTCTCAATCTCGATTCGCCTATCTGGCAGTTTGTGCCAGAGCTGGAGAACATCGTCAAATATAAGGACACGACATTGAGGATGTTAGCAAGCCAGATCGCTGGTGTCAACCAGGACAGTAAGAACATCCCACAGCACAAGAATCAGCCATGAAACTAATTTTCTTAGGCTTCGTATATGACATCTCCGCAACGATCCCGCCTCTTATGCTGGCGCAGCTTGGATTCCCGAATATACCCATCCCCGAAGGACTGCCGACTTGTGATGCGATCCAGATTGGCGAAGCTCCTTGCACTCGTAGACGCAAGTTATTTCCGCAGGCCATGCCAATTTGACGTAACCTATACTGATTGGCGCAGAATTCTTTGATGGGCTCAAGTTTTCGAACCTTACCTGGCAGCCAGGCACCAACGCTGCATACAGCAATCTTGCCTACATAATCCTCGGCTTTGCTGTCGAGAACATTACGTCCTCCTCCTACGCCGATGCCCTGAATGACCGTATCGCCGCACCCCTCAGACTCAAAAACACAGGCACCAGAGTGCCCGTTATCGAAAACGGCATCATTCCCGTCGGCGGCCTCGAGTGGTATACTAGACCACTTGCTAACTACGACAGTACCGGCGGTATGTTCTCAACGCCACACGATTTGCAGTCTTTCATCCGCAGCATCCTCAACCACGAGCAGCTCTCCCATGCCAACACTGCCATGTGGCTCAAACCAGTCGTCTTTACTGCCAATCCTGCCGAAGCCGTCGGTATGCCTTGGGAGATCTACCGTCCCAGCGACCTGACACCCGACGGCCGCCCGATAGAGACTTATAGCAAAACCGGAAACCTGCCGTTTTACGCCGCGCACATTGCTTTCTTGCCTGCTTATGGTGTCGGTCTCTCCATCAATACCGCTGGCCAGGAGGCATTTACCGCCGTCAGGGACCTCCTCGATATTGTGATCCGCACCCTCATTCCAACTCTCGAATCGGTCACGCGATCCCAGGCGGAAGCTACCTATGGTGGTACCTACGCCTCCGAAACCGGCTCGCTGACTCTAGTCGTGGACGATGGTCCAGGGCTCAAGATTGAGGAGTGGATGGTCGGCAATGGCAGCGTCCTCGATGCTTGGCTGAAATTTCCTGGACGGGAGGATCTCTCCAGTGTTGATGCGAGGGCTTATCCGGTCGGTATAGATGACCGGTGGTTGGTGTACTTTGAGGGCCATTCGTCAAGGAACAAAACTGGGATCTTTGCCAAGCAGTGTGAGACGTGGATCGCGCAGGATGGACTGAGATTTGCGGGATTGCCAATCGATGAGATTGATTTCAAGTTTGAGGATGGAAGGGTTGTCAGTGTAACGTCGCCCGGTTTGCGGCAGGAGTTGCTGAAGATTCGACGGTGATGGCTTTCATGTCAGGGTACGTGGCGGTGTTTCAGATATGGCTGTTGCATCAAGAATGCGTCGTCGTAGGGGAATGGAATTCATCATAATTCAGATGGTGCCTATCATTGGAGTAGCCGAGTGTTAAACAGGTGTTGCTGGATCCCGGACCCCATCTTGCTTCTCGCCCTCGCCGTCGTCCAAGTTTGCGCTTGGGTTATGCCATGCCCTGAACTGTCTGGCAGACAACCCGAGCTCAAACATGCGGTCTATTTCACCCGGGGTGCGACCTTTCATTTCTGGAACCTCAAAGAATGTAACTCCAGCGGCGAGAAGACACAAGCCAGCAAACACGAAGCCTGTCTTCGCCCGAAGGTTGCCCTGATCGGGGTTGAAGATGTACGGCAGCACAAAGCCGAAGATAGAGTTACCAGCTCCCGACGTAAACCAGCCGATGCCCTGGGCCTTGGCTCGTAGATGCAGAGCCGACGTCTCGGCGCTGACGACGTGGGAGCAGGGCCAGGCACCCAAACTCGTGGTGATCACCACCGCAATCATGGACGCTGCAGTATATCTGTTGCTGGGTCAGCCTGGTCACGACGCACGATAACGAATGTTAGAAGGGGTTCGACTTACGCAACGACGACTTCGCCAGACCAGATGCCGCAGATACCCATACCCGCCCACAGCACGGAGGCAACGCTCAACGAGATGAGCAATAGCTTCCTCCTACCTACCCGTGAGAGCACCCAGATACTGACGATGTTGGTGATCAGACCACAGACGATGCCGAGCATCAGCAGAATGACACTTTTGTCGTCATCCATACCGACGATCTGGAGGAAGTAGCTCGACTTGGACAGCAGCGTCAGGCCAAAGAGCTGCGGCAACAAGTTTGCAAACATGACGATCAGAGTGCGTCGGAGATTCGGCTTCCGGAACGAGTCAGTATACGTCGCCTGCGCCTGTTCCCTCTCGTGCTCAATATTCTTTTGAATGACGGCCAGCACGGCGGCCGTGTCGGCGCCGGGCTCGTCGAGTCGCGTCTGCGCCTTCAGGGCCTTGTCGTGTTGACCCTTGCGGATGAGGTAAGTCGGGCTCTCGGGGATGAAGAAGGCGATGATCATGGGCAGGGCGGAAAAGGGCCACTGGGTCGCGAAGCAAATGGTGTAGCCGTTGCTTAGGTCGAGACACGCGTAGATGACGCCAGCGCCGACGAGCTGGCCGAGGAGCGTGAAGATGGGGAAGAAGGCGAGCAGTGGGCCGCGCAGGTTCGGCGGCAGCACCTCCGACATGTACGTCTGCGTCGTGGCCATGACCATGCCGATGGCGCCGCCCTGGAATCCCTTGCCGGCGAGGAAGAGGCCGCGTCGGGTGTCTATATCTCCCGATAGGTACGAGACGAAGCAGACAGCGACGCCGATGGCCGACAGGAAGGAGCCGACGGCAAGGGACCCGCGGCGACCATAGCGGTCTTGAAAGAGGCCGCCAGCGAGAGCACCGATCATGGAGCAGCCCGGTGAGGCAAAGTTCCAGAGGCCGAGCCATAGAGAAGGAAGGATCCATTCACCGTCGAGCTGGTAGCCAAAGTCCTTTCTGCATTGTTCGTCAGCATGCTTGGTGCTGTGGTCAGTTGGTACTGGGCACGAAGGATGAACTGACTGAAAACTGGGCATGGCGGAGACTGTGCCAACGATCACATAGTCATATCCGTACATGAGGATGGCAGAGGTCATACCCATGCAATAGAAGACAATGCGACGCCATTTCCAGAGAGATTGTCGAAGCTTGAGGTGTGTGAACTCATTCGTTTCGGGCGGTGCCGTCAAGACACTGCCATTACTTGCAACCTTGTCGAACTGTTCGACGGCGGCGACTTTCTTGTCCTCCATCGCGAATAGGGTTGCGGGCACGTCGTTCGCGTGCCGTTCTGGAAATGGAGCAACAAAGGATGTGACCAGCCTGCAGGCGACCCTGAGGTAGGTATGCAGTGAAATCCTTAAAAGTCACGCCCAAATCCAAGAATGTTGTTCGAATCAACACAGCAACACAGTCAGTCAGAAGGTCAACGCCATTGGGCACAATTGGGAAGAGAGGCGAGACCAAGTTGTTGCTTTATGTTGCCCTTGCTCAAGAGGGGGGCATGCGCACATGTTCATGAGGACCCTCTCCTGTGTGACCAGGAGAGCATGCCAAGCTTGAGATGGGCAGGTATCTCTACATGTGGTAGGGTGCACCGCCCGCTAGCCTCCCCCATAACCCAAGACAAGTTTGCCATCCGCCCGTGTTCCTTATGGCGGCCCTGTGCCTGTCCTATGGGAGGTCCCGCCTCAGCATAGGGCCCATAGGCATGCCGCTTTCAGAGTCTTGGCACATGGCCAAGGGGCCAGTGTTGACGCTCGAATAAAGTTACACTACATGGGACTACCAGGGGGAGCGGCAGGGGTCTTGGTTCACGGCGATGCTGTGCTTGACCCCTCATTTGGAGCCGTGATCTGGCCTTGGGGGCGGCCAATCATGGCCGCACTGGGACAGATTGGCATGCGGGCAGTTTGAACCTTTTCTCGACGTGCCCTGATGTCTCGCGTTTTGCTGCAGTTGGTGTGTGGCCGATGAGCCAAGACCTCGGTATGTCGATCTTAATGAGCATGTGGAAGTGTGTCCAAAGACTCAGCCATTTGCACGAGGTAAGGGAAAGAGATAATAAAGGTTGTTCACGTGAAAGGTGATGCTTCAAGGTTTTTGGAGATGCACACCTACGCTGAGCAGCTATTGTCCTCGAGCGTAACAATGCCTGCGCTTGTCTCACTCCGCGCCGCCACCAAACGTCGATCCTGGGAGCCGAGACTGGTCTGTGTTTCCTCTCTGCTCAGCACCCGTAACGAAGCATGGGTACAGTGAGTCTCCCCAAGTCGTACGCCGGCCATTCTTACTTTAATGCGCGATCTCGTACGACGGGACCAATTCATGTGGCTGCTATGGTGGGAGATCGGCAACCCGTTCGCTGAGACAATACGTTCGGGGGACCTGCCAATATCTTATTACCGCGTCTGCTCTTCCCTTCTGCGTGCGTGCGACTCGCGTCATGCATCAACCAAATCTTCAACCGCTGTAGCCTCGAGTCAGATCTATGAGCCGGGGTCTGGCACTGGTGATGATGGAATGAGGGGACCGGGTATCGATGTCGAAAGAGCTTATTACCCGATCCGCATCTAGTCATGGTTCGTAAGGTTGTCAGAGAAGTGGTCTCAGTCGTCTTTGGCAGTGAGCGGTCATGAGGTGGACATCAAGGTAAGCCAGGTCGCCTGCCAGAGTCCAAGTGAGAAAAATGATCCAGGATTGCGCCGTTGTCCATCTACCATTATATATGTCTCTCATTAATATTACAATCACCAACTGAAGCACTCCTCCACCAACCTGACCACCCCCGAGACACCTCTCCTCCTTCGCCCCCGATTGATGTCAACAATCACCCTCCGAACCTCATCCGCCATACCTGCTGGGCCACTGACGACTACCACGATGTCTCCCCTCCTTCTAGATGTTTCCTGCCCAAGCACCTCTCTCACGTCCCACCTTGCTCCGACGCGGACATTTACGTCCAGCCCCGGCCCCGTCAACTTGTCGACACCAACGTGCGTCACCAAAGCCGATGACCGGCACGCCCAGTACAGCGCCGTCCGAGCATGTGGCAATCTCGAGCGTGCTGCGAGGAGCGGGTTGACGGCCGTGATGCCTGCGCCGCCAATCACGCAGACGACATGCGGGTCTGTAGCGTAGCGATTGAGGGACAACGGTGGAGGTGCCGTCTCGACAAGGACGGGTAAAGACGAGGTGGCGGCGAGTCTTGCCGTCAGGCCCTTTTCTCGACGGATGAGGAACGTGAGGCAGGGTATCGGCGATGTATGCTTTGGTCGCTCATCATCCATCTCGTCATCGTCTTGCTCTTCGTGGGCGAGGAGCGCCGTGCCAGAGTGAGGCGTCTGTGGGGTGACGGGCGTCAGCGGAATGCTGTCTGGATGGAGGGCACGCTGCTCGTGCGAGGTGTCGTCAAAATCGTTGGCGCGTTCCTTCTCAAGATCGGCGCTTGCTTCCGAGTCGGAGCCTACGAGCTCGAAGGGGAGATCTCCCTCGGCGTCGGCTGCGTAGTCGAGGGCCGTGCTGTCTTGTATCGAGGACGAGATGGAGAAGGGGTGGTTCTCCCAGACACGCCAGCTGAGGGAGGGGAAATAGAGGTAGGCGTAGCCCGTCGCTTTGACGCCGGGAACCGTGATGGATATGTACTCGTCGTCAATGACGGTTATGGCGGCGCGGCGGATACCATTCTTGGCCAGCTTTGCGAGACGGACGAGACGCTCCACCACCCAGATGAGGGAGGCGAGATAGATCCAGTTTTCATAGCCGTAGGCGTGGCTGAACTTGAAGTAGATGTGGTAGTAGCACCCAGCGACAGACAGCGACGCCAGAAGGACGTGCATGTTGAGGAAGAACTCGTAGTACCGCCGGCGTACAAAGAGCACGGACAGCGGAACCATGAGACACCATGCCACCATGGACAGAGTTCCGATGGTCCAATAGGCCTGGGCAAACTTCTTGGGAAGGACGTGGATGTGGAGCGCGAGCCAGATACCTGAGTGGAGCAGGGCCTGGAGGACGCACAGGTATGCCGTCCAGCGGTGATACAGGAGAAAAGAGCTGTACGACCAGCCTGTGATCCTGACGAGGGGGTTGTTGCGGGTGGCGTAGAGGATGGCGACAGCGAGGTTGGCAAAGGAGAGGATGCCGACGCGGTTCGCGAAGAACTCCAGTTTCCGGACATTGTCCACCGACCAGGCTGAACCGACAGAGCTATATCCAAATATAGAGAGGGCGACGTTGAGGAGGAGCTGGAAGCTGATGAAGGCCATCTGGCCCCTTGTTGGGAGAAGTCCAACATCGAGGGGAAGAGGGACCAGGTGGCGCTGGCCCCAGAGCGGGGGATAGATGAGTTTAGTCAGGACAAATGCCTCGAGTTTGGTAGAGCTTGCGATGCTGCTAGACAGAGCAATGAAGATGGGAAGCAGGACGGCCGTAAGGGCAACGATGATTCTGCAGCTTTGGTCAGTGTGCTGTGATGCTCAGAAAGGTATCTCGATAGCCATACCCGTACTTGGAATTGGACGTCTCTACACGAGCAAACGTCCTCACCATGGCAAAGGTCCTGTCCCAGTCCTTGTCAGGAACGAGTTTTGCACCAGTCAAAACCTCATGCTCTTCCATCTCCTCGCTTGGTGCCTTTCTGGCCTGGGAAAGGGCGTCATGGAAGCCGAGTCTTGGCGTCTCACGGTGCTCGGCGGCCTGATTCCAGATGACATCGGACGCCCAGAACTTGTCGATGGCCCAGGTCTCCAGCTCATCGCAGCGAGCCTGAATGCACCAAGCCAGTGACTCGAGATAGGACTCGTCCGTCGCAAAACACGCGGGCGTTGTCCTGAACTTGGACTCGTGGCCGCCGTGTCGCCTCTCTCTAGGCTTCGGCTCAACAGTCGAGCAATTAAGGCGGTGCGGGGCAATGGCGTTCCGGCAGGCGAATGCACACGGAGGATCGTACATGTGGATGCCATAACCAATGAGACCATGGGCCGACTCCTCCCCATGGCCATGGGCAACAGCATGCCCGACAAGTTGGCATGAAATGACGAAGGCGAAAGCCAAGCTAGAGACTGCCCCTTTCCGGGCTGATGGCTGTGGGGCCATGAGTGGCGTCGTCTGAAGTGACCCGGCAGTGTCTGTTCGTTGACGGAGGGCGCAAGTGCCCCGGCGTCGGTCGCATGAAGTCACGTTCTGCGCCTGGTCGGAAACGTGCCTCTGAAGGATGAATATCGTAGGATGTAGATGTCAAGTCGAGGGATTGTCTCTCACGTCGACAAATCGACCGAGGGTTGAGGCTGGCCCCGGTGCAGGCAGGCGCGAGCCGCCCAGTGTACAGTCAGCACCAGAGGCCAATCACTGCGCTGGGCGGAGGGCCCTTAGCGTCAGTCGGCGTAAACTTGCTCAATCTAGCGCCATCGCCCATCGCGTTGTCTCACTTCACCCCTCAGCCACCAGCCTTTCTGCCGTTGGGACTCCACATCTCCGTGATGCTCAGTGATTTTTCATGCGCTGGACCTGCAGCAGCAATTGCTCAGGAAATTTCTGATTCGTAGGAGAGTCTGGCAAGGCGCATCATGACGGCGCATAGGGTTTGCAGAGTCGGGAACCAAAAGCTGACTTCGATCCAGACGCTGGCCATCAAGGTATCTCTAGGAGAATGCTACCAGACCTCAGCCTCTCTACTGGATGGAAGCTCAAGGGTGACAATCTACTGACCTGGAATACAAGCAGCTCGTTATAAAATCGTATATTAAAGTCGACCATGATTCGAATCCTACGACTACTCTTACATGAGTTCGCTACAGTTATAGTGAAGTTCACCAAAGAACTAGAGATCATGAATCATCTAGCGAACAAGGCCCGATTTCGAGATACAGAAAAGCTTGTCCTTGAAAGCCTTAAGTCTTCTTCCGACTTTTTACACTGCAGCTAGAGGGTATCCCCTGCCAGTGTCTAGAGACGGTCATAACGGGACCGCGTACCGCGCCCACCAAAGATGGGATGCCATGGCAATGTCTGACCCGCAGGCGAGTTACCGATTTTTGTACTCGAAGGTTTGCCAGAATGGATCTGCCTCTGCTGATGGGACCTTTCAGCCTATGCTGCGGCGACCTGGGCTGGGACAAAGTCCTCATCTGTCTTGGCGATTCGTATTCGTATTAATGTGAGCGTTTCGAAGGATCGCCTGTCTGTTGGGGCCACGAGCGTCCTGACGAGGAAGGGTCCTGGCATATATAAAGTGATGAGGACGGCATTCCTTCTCAAAATTTACTCCAATAATCAGGCAAGGCCTGCCAGATCTTCAACATGGCCAATGATAGCTCTCAAACGAGCAACCATGGGAGCACCAAGCCCTTTACAGTCATCGTCCACCCCTTTCAGTCACCTACTCCCGACTCCTGTGCCTATGAGATTGGATCGAAGGCCTCCTCGAATGCATTGATATTCATCGGCGGCCTCACGGGCGGCCCACACACCAGCCGGACCCCAAGAAGTCTGGCTCATGGACTTGCTGCTGCCTCAGAGCTGGACTACTCCGTCTGGGAGTTCCGCATGCGGAGCTCATACTCCGGCTTCGGGTTTTCCAGCATTGCCAACGATGTCGAGGATGTCAGGGCTCTCGTCACTTATCTGCGCAGCCTCGGAAAAAACAAGATAGTGCTAATGGGAGTCTCTACTGGTAGGCCACCCAATACTCCGAGCCAGTCTGAAGAAATTTGACTAACGATTTGAGGAACAGGGTGCCAGGATTGCATCGAGTACACGAACCGTGTCAAATATGATACTCCTCCCGTGGACGGGTACATACTGCAATCTCCGGTGTCTGACCGCGAGACGGCAAGCATGAGCATGCCTGTAGACTACCTCGAAGCCACCGTTGCTACGGCGAAAGAAATGATCGCCCAGGGGAGACATGAGGACGCCATGCCTCGGGATTCAATCCCTCCCGTCTTTTCATCCCCGGTGACAGCATACCGGTGGAACTCACTTGCCGCCAAAGGGTATGTGTAGACCGGGCCAACGGGACAAGGCTTGAAAAATTGGAATGGAAGGCTAACGTAAGCTGCAGAGGCGATGACGACTTCTTTTCCTCCGACATACAAGACGACACACTTGATACGACGTTCGGCAGGTTTGATAAACCTGTGCTGCTGATGCCTGCCGGAAAGGATGAGCTCGTGCCGCCGACGGTGGACAAGGAGGAACTTCTGGAGCGCTGGGTAAAGGCATGCCCTCAAGGTATTGTGAGTTCTTTGTCTGCTGTGAATCCTACGTCCGACCATGGCGTCACAGATACGATGGCTCAAGGATGGATGCTGGATAGAATCATGCCGTTTTTGAAAAGTATTTGAAGCTGGGAATGGTATCTCTCAAACTGCTATGCAGAAGAAACATGCTGCTTGTCATATGGAGAGTCGAATGTGAATCGCAATCGAAACATTACCCACGACGACCTGAGCTCGCGGGTCTTCGAAGCCGCTGACTTGAGGCGCTGTGATTTGCACCAAGTGAGGTGCGGTATACCAGACTGAATTGCCGTTATAGCAATCAAATCTGGCGTACGCTTCGGGAGAGGATGTTGCTGCAAAGTCAAAATCTGGTGGCGTAGGCTCTTGTGCCATCCATAGACGTCCATCACGAACACCTACCGCAACGAGTACATGACGGTGCTGCCCAGGATACAGACTTGGCGGGATGGTCAGGACAATGTAGCCATCAGGATAGAAATCCAGCACGCATTGCATGTGATCTTCCCGAACGTCATACATGCCGTGAATCATTGATGTGTATCTGTGAGCCGAGGTCCGAAGAAGGCGCAGATGTTCATCGTGGGCCGGATCAGTCGGCTTGACAAGCGTCGGTCTTTGTTCTGCAGCATGATGTGGTTCAAATATGGGCAGAGTCCTGGGGTCTGTCGAGTACAGACAGGTGACTATGCCGGGCGTTGTCTTCCTTGAGCTAAGCGTAGCCCCGATCCTCGCGCGAGGCATGCCGCTGCTTCCCACTGAGATCCATAACATCATGCTGTCCATGTTGTCTGCTTGCCTTTTTGAGATGGTGAAGTACGGGAGGGAAATCGTTCCGAGTCGAGTCCGGTAGAAATGTCCGTCTGGTCGGTCAGTCCTAGGCCGCAGAATGATAGCAACGAATTGGAGTAGCCGCGTCTCTACCTGCGGAAAAGGTGCCTGCGGAAGAGGAGAGCAGGCCAAAAATGCGAGGTAATAACCCTCAAAGAACTCGTCCAGCTTCATTAATGGTAGGTGTATGTGCAGGCCAAAGTTAGTGATGCTATAATCAGGCTTCATGCGATTGGTGCTGTGTGGGAATGTATTGACGAATGTCTTGTGGTCAACTACCCGGCGGCCGCTGAAATCGCGGAACATGCGAGGCGAAGGTGCAAGCATGCCGATGTCTTCTGGGCAGGGCAGGCCGTGAGGCATGGACCATGCGAAGATCGTGTGATCCGGAGTCGTCCTCATAATTTCGTCCTGTAGCCTATAAAAAGCCTTGCGGCCTTCGCCATAGATTGCCGGCATACAAACGCCGAAAATCCCCATCAGGCAGTATGCTTCGTCTTCAATCCTTGTGGTCACGCGTCTCGACGCCCACGACATCCGCTCTCCTACGCTGGCATCATCCAGCTTGCCGCGGTTGCGCAGGATCTCAGCTTTAACCCCTGTGATCTCTTCGAGTAAGGAATCCATCAGGGTCTTGGATCCCAAGGAAGACCGGCTCCATGTGCTGCTGATGAAGTAGACTTCAGCAGGGGCGATGAGCTCTTGTAGTGTCCAACCTCGTGTAAACCAGGCACTCTGTCGGAAGGGCGAGTTGGCAGCATGCAGTTCGATTGAGCCTGCCATGGGAACATCGTCGAGATATGCAAAGCATATGGTCGAGGCTTCATACCACGCATACATGGAGTTGATGGCTTCGGAAAGCTCTGCGCTGCTGGACTTGTCGATGCAGCATGTGTCGATCCAGGCATACTGAAGGTGGTAGTCTAACGCCCGAGCGCAGCAAGCCTGGATCTTTGCATAACCCTTCTTCGACTTAGCCGCCTCATCCTCGGTCTGAATCTCTTGGAAAGTGACCTCGTCAGACGATGAACCCCACCTGTGAGAGAGAATTGCGTATGGGGGGAAATTGTCCTGGAAGAATTCCAACTTGAACGAGGGGTTCGTGCGAGGATCGCGAGGATGAGGTTTGATGTGAAGAAGATACATCTTGGAAGATCATCCCACTTGTTGGCCAGTCTAATCGTATCGGCCTTTGATGAACATGCACCTTGAAGAGCGATGAGGTCTGACGAGGCTTTTCCCCCCAAAAACGCGAATGGGTCACCAAGAATCAGCTGACCTGCTGTGCATAACCTGCATTCCTAGCATGCGGCCATTGCAAGCTCATTCGTATCCGGCGCCACCGTCGCACAGGTCCACCATCGTCTTAGAGCATTCTACGTCAGCCAGGTGACAGCTACAATTATTTGTGTTATAGGATTTACGGTGGCAGATCATGACAAGTCATTTCCCGACCAAAATCAGTGGCAAGGGCGAAAAGAGGCCAATTGATGAACATTTTGGTAAGGGATGAAAGTTTCAGTCTCGAAATATGCAGGCCAACCTCAATCGCTAAATCAGTAGGTTTTAGACGGTAATATACTGGCTGCGACGTGGGATAGCTATTTTTCTACATGTCCCGCTTCACACAAGTCAGGCCACGGCTCTCAACGCGTCAGTCTTCTCTCTCAGAGCCCTTTAAGTAAGGCACTGCGAGTACCAGGGGTTCTGCGACTTGCACGTGTATCCGGCAGCGCACTGCGTGGGACCGGTCCATCCCTGTCCACCGCACTGTCCCCAGGGCGCCGCGACACCTGTGCCCGTGGCCGGTGGCGCGGCAGCGGTGGTGGTGGCAGCCCTGGTCGTCGTGGCGACGGTTGTAGGCACAACAGTGGTAGAGGCCCTCACCGTCGACGTCAGAGTCGTCGTGCCCCTAGTGGTGGTCGTAGCGGCAGGGGGCGCAGCCGTCGTGGTCGTGCCCGCGGGAGGGGGCACGGATCCGCCGGAGATGGCGCCCTGGGCCCAGAAGACGCCGCGGCCGTTGGTACCGACGTAGACAAGGCCGGCGTTGTTGCCACTGCCCTCGAGACGGTTGGCCTCGATGGAACCCCAGGCGATGGAGCCCTGAATGTCAGTCCACGAGGCACCGAGGTCGGCACTGCCGTAGAGCTTGGGGCCCTGGGGGCCGGTGCCGAAGGCGTAAAGATTCCAGGTCGTGCCAGCGCCGCGGCCGAGAGCGATCTGGTAGGTATTGGTCACGGTCGAGGAGACGAGGGTGAAAGAGGTTCCACCGTTGGTGCTGTGGAAAATACCGGCGTCTGTGGACACCCAGACGTCGCCGGCGACCTGGGGGTGGACAGCGATGTCGCGGATGACGGTGGCGCCGCTAAGGGTGCCGGCGGTGCTGAAGCTTGTGGCCGAGTTGGTCGAGCGGTAGAAGGTCGAGCCAGAGGCAGCGTAGAAGGCAGTGTTGTCGCGCTTGTCACTGGCAATCAGGGCGTTGTTGGGAAGGCTAGAGACGGCGGCAAAGGTACCCTGAGTTTGGGAACGGCGGACGCCCTGGTTGGAAGAGGACCAGAGGACAACATCACCATCGGCGGAGAGGGCTACAGCGCCTCCATAGGCAACCTGGCCAGCGCCGTAGTGGATGTACCAGGTGTTACCACCATTGCCGGAGAGGGCGACCTGCTCAGTGCCGCCAGTGTTACCGACGCGGACGACGTTGGCGACCTTGTTGCCAGCGTAATCAACGCTGGTAGAAGAGGTGAACCTGGGAGTGTCCCAAACGGTGGCGGGTGCGGTACCCAGAGAATTCTTGTTAGGGAAAGTGAAGCCGCTATCATCGCCAACAGCAGAGAACAGCTCGGTACCACCAGGAGCAGACTTAACCTCAAGGACAGCGAACTCCTCGATGCCGTCGGCAAGCGACTCAATGGTGATGTTGTGGGTGGTGTCCCACTTGGTCAAGTCGTGGCCTCCGTAGACGGTCAGACCAGTACCGTAAAGCCAGTGGTTAGAGTCATGGGGATCAATTTCCAGGGCCTCAATCATCCAGCCAAGCTTCTTTGTGTCGACGGAGATGAAGTTCTTAAAGATCCAGGGTGCCTTGGGTGTGCTGATGCTGTAGTAGAACTCCTGGTTGGGGTAGCTGGTCCACTTCCACAAGGTAGACCAAGTGTTTCCAGAGTCGGTGGAACGGTAGATCTGCGCGTCAGGGTACCATGAGTTCAGCGTGGCGACGATGAGGGTACCAGGCTTCTGAGCATCAACTGAGAGACCACCGAAACCGAAGTAGAGATCACCACCCGAGGCAGGCGTAATGTCCTTCCACACGCTGGTGGCGAGGTCATAGCGCCAGACGGAACCAGAGGTACCATCGTAAGGGCCAGTGCCATCGGAGTAGGACAGGTAGAGAGCCTTCTCGGCAGTCTGAATTCTGGCCTTGTGGGGGAAATACTTTCCAGGTTGTCCGGCAACGGGGCTCCAGGTCTGGCCGGCGTTGGTGGACACGTAGACGGAGGCAGTGACGTTATCGGCGGTGCCGACAAAGATTCGGGAGGTGGCGCCACCAGAGACGGCTGAGGTCTCATCAAAGGTGACAAATGTCAGACCCTGAGGGTCGTTGAGGTATCCGTTGGCATCATTGGGATCAGGAGCGAAGTTGCCGACGTTGGTGAAGGAGGTGACCTTGCTGAAGGAAACACCGCCGTTGGTGGACTTCCAGAGACCATTTCCACTGCGAGCACCGAAGTAGACGATGTTTGGGTTGTTGGGGTCGACTGCGAGACGTTCTCCAGTGCCGCGGCCGGGCATGTTACCACCAACCTTGAAAGGCAGGTCGGTAAACGTCCACGTCTGGCCCTTGTCGGAACTGCGACCGATGGCGCCATTGTTAGGATCCCTATTGACGTCAGTGACCCGTATTGTATATAAGACAGATGTTTGTCCTACCAGCTGTTGGTGTACATGCCAAAGGCCGCGTAGACCTTGTTGGCATCAGCAGGGTCCAGCGCTACTGCGTCGATTCCCCATCGGTTCCTGCATGGCATTGTCGATCAGTATGATGGCGCGTTTGGCTGGGCATGGGTGAGACTATGTCGGTATAAACTCACCACTTGGCATGGGTAGCAACGTAGTCCGTGACAGGCGTCCAGGAATCGTCGGCATTGAGACGGTAGAGACCACCAATATCTGTACGAGCATAGGCAACACCCTTCACCTTGGGGTGGAAAGAAATGCCAGGCACGAAGCCACCACCGCCTCCCATGCGAGCATTCTGCCACTCGAAGGCGGCATAGATGGGGCTTGCCGCGGCAAGAAGGAGTGAGAGAACCTTCATCGTGATCGTATGCCGTTCCAACGGTTTGCTGGGATGACAAGCGCCTGGAAGAGCGAGGCAAGGGAAGCGGGAAAGATCAGCGATTGTTGCCTTACTTATATGATACTCATTCCCGGATATGACGGCCCACCCCCAGGACCACGACGTTCCGAGTTGGACGGATGTTCGCGATCGTGAGATGGGAGTATACAGAGGGGTCCAAAAGCCGATCTAGGTCGTATCCCGCGGGGCAGCCAAGATTCTCACGATGGCTCCGTGACGGAATAGTGCAATTGCCCCAGGCTGGACCTGCATTCTCCAATTCAGATCCCAGGTTGATTGCCACTTTGGGGCGACTGGCGACTCGTCCCGCGGTCCCGGTTGCGCTACGCCGTTCCGAGCCGCGGACCAAGGAGCGTCCAGCTCCGATCGTGCAACATCAGGCAACGTTTTCCGTAAAGTCGTCATCCAGGTGACACTGGTGAGGCCAGGCTTTTGTCTCCATTAATTAAATGAGCTTGTTCTCATTGGAGCGGAATCCAATCAACGAGCGCTCCTCAGATTGACTGAGGGCAGGGTCTACTGTCGTGATGGCTTCGTGTCGGAATTGACGCGTTTTCCGGAGCCTGGCGTGCCCCAATCTATTACCCAGGCACGCCATGATGCAGCCTACAGGTCCAGAGCCATGGAAAGTACAAGATGGAGGCGCGGAGTCTGTGGAGCACGCGGCTTGTCTCCTCGCTGTGTAGTCCCCGTAACCAACCTCGGCCATTGTGGTCAGTGCCCAATCGCAAAACAGTCAGATATCGGCCACGGCTTGATGTTTTCCATAGGCCTCGATCGGGATCTCTCTCACCACTGAGTATAAGTAAACCGATGCTCCCCTATCGTCGTGCGTGTGGCGGAAAATTGGCGTCCCCAAGCCATGGCGCTCCCGTCAACGCCCTGACTCGCAAAGCAGCCCTTGTGCCTGTGGCTTTTGGAAGAGCTCCGGTGTTCTTTTCCGAGTGGTGGTATGTCTTATTGCCTCATGCCTCGCCTGCTGGACACTTGACTCCCGCCTTGCTGTAGCAATTTGTGTTTCTTTGTGGACAGGCGGGCTGCTGCTAGCATGTTTGTTCCTCATGCCCGAGTTCTGCCCTTCGTCAGTTCAGGGGTTGCTCAAACATCGCTGTCTGTTCAGTTCTCTCAACCGTCGTCGTGGAAAACAAAGTGAATATCCATCGCCCCGCAAACAAGACTCACTTCCTATTCCGACAATTTTCTGCGCTTGATAGGTTGAAATGCCCAAACGTGGTCGGGAACGCCCAACGTTGTAGGATGGAGCATCCGTTGTAGATATTTCCCAGAAAAAGAAAGGTGCGAAAAGATGACACGAGAAAAGAAAAAGCAGTACATAAGACGTTGGCGAAGGCCCAGTCAGGTGGAGTGAACAAGCCTGCCTGTCTTTTGTAGGATACCTACACGGTCTACAACACAGCTTCCATTGCTGCTCATCAGGAACCTCAGAGGGGTTCCAGACTGGTGGAACCAACACACAATGGTGGACGATGACGCCCCCGAGTGCGGGGTATTCCGATCTGGCGTGCGCCACAAGAATGCGAGATTTCAGGAGTATAGTGGCTTCTGTCGTTTGTCCCGACCTCTGGCGAGATTGAAGGCTCAGGTTCAAGACATCAGACGTTGCAAGAAGTACCATACCTCCGACGCAGTCTCTGAAATTCTTCGTCGGCGACAACACGCGAAACCGTGCATAAACATGAAGCAGAGAGTCGTTTTCGGTGTACTTGTGGGCCTAATTCGACTGGGTACAGGTCACCGACACGATGGGCATCTGCGCCGCCTGTCTACGGAACAGATTCCCCTTGTTGAGCTTCCTCACAGCCAGAAGCAAATCAATCAGGACATACGACAGTACTGGGTGCGACAAGCGAACGAAGCACTGTCTTCGCCATGCCCATTCGCTCCCTTCGGCACCGTTATTGTGAATCACACAGTCAGTGGCAAAGGCGACATTGTCTGCACCGGCGAAAATATGAGCCACCAGTCTGGCAACCCCATCATGCATGGTAAGAGGCTGATAAATGGGTCTTGTCTCGTGACGCAGACTGCGGAGGCTTTATGTAGGGCATACATCGGAGAACTGACGAACATCAGGTGAAATGGCAGCAATCGCCAACTGCTCTCAAATCCTGACGGATCCGACGGGGCCTTACAACATGACAGTCGCAGAAGCTCTGGCAGCATTCTCAGACTTGACCATCTACACAAATGCCGAAAGCTGCCCCATGTGCGCGTCAGCGATTCGATGGGCCGGCTTCAGGGAATACGTCTACGGCACCAGTATTGATGAGCTGGTCCGCAGAGGCTGGGATCAGATCCGGATTGCGTCGCGTGAGGTATTCGCAATGTCCGTCGATCTCCCGCGACAAACGGCGCTGATTGGGGCGGTACTCACAAACGAGACGAACCCCTTGTTTAGCTGGCAGTTCGACCACTCGGCTCCATGTCCACCGGGCTGTTCGCGATCTACGTGGCAGGCGGATTCAATTTGTTCCGTTGTCTAGACCCCAAAATGTCGCGCAAAACTCCGAGAGATTGAGCAGGTCGGTCTTACTACCAAGCGACCTGCCGAGAACTGGTAGAGGTGGACGACCTGGGCAAAATTAGGAAGACAGCTCAGCTGTTCGGGCGAGGCGAGGCCGCGGCGGGTGAAACAGCACCGCAATCTGCAAACCTTGTCCAGGGGCGAGGACGCAATTACTAGACCACTACCGTAATCCTCGCCTTTCGTCCCCGTTTAGCAAATGGGCCGCCGAGTTCATGAAAGCAGCGATTTTCAGGCACCAGCCACAATGTTCCAGCTTGGTAACGGGTTTCCAAGGACCGAATGGCGCATCGTTCTGCTGCTGATTATAGTGTGTTGGGTGGTGGCGATTGGAGTAGGGGATTGCCCGCGCGATGTGTGCCGATCCAGCGCTGCAACACCAGGCTTCGGTACTAATTAACGTGAGGAGAAGCATGTCAGGGATACTGCCGACCCCCGCAGCCCCTCCTGATCTCATCTCGGGCTTAGTAGACTACCGGCAGCAACGGTTCTGGGGTGCAGCCTCCTGCCGACCTCCATTCTAGAAAGTAATAAGACCCACGGCCTCTCAGAAGTAACCACAGCGATGAACTCCCGCACGCCCTTCGGCTTCGCTCTCGTTGTCATTCAGTCTATCCGGTTCTCAAAATGTTTGCCAGCGTAGCTACTAGCGCTCTGCTTCTGTGGTCGTCGGCCACGGCGGCCCTTACTTATAGGGGTGTCGACTGGTCGTCGACCTTGGTTGAAGAACGGGCTGGTATCAAGTACACCAATGGCGGCTCGGCTCAGCCTCTTGAACAGATCCTCAAAGCGAACGGCGTCAACTCGGTCCGACAGCGCATTTGGGTCAACCCTTCCAATGGCGACTACAACCTCGACTACAATCTCAACCTTGCCAAGCGGGCCAAAGCTCAGGGACTCAGCGTCTATCTGACGCTTCACTTCAGCGACACATGGGCCGACCCCGCTCACCAGGCCATCCCTAGTGGTTGGCCTTCTGGTATCGACGATCTCTCATGGAGGCTCTACAACTACACCAAGGAGGTCTCCAACGCCTTCCAGAAAGCTGGTGTGCCCCCGGCCATCATCTCCATCGGCAACGAGATCACCTCTGGGCTGCTGTTCCCAACCGGAAAGACCTCCAACTTCTACAACGTCGCACGCCTCCTCAGCTCCGCCTCTTGGGGCATTAAAGACTCAACCCTCAGCCCCAAACCCAAAATCATGATCCACCTCGACCGTGCCTGGGACTGGAACGTTCAGGAGTACTTCTACACTCAGGTCCTTGCCGCCGGACCCCTTGCCGTTGGTGACTTTGATCAGATGGGCGTCTCGTATTACCCCTTCTACGGGAGTGGTGCCACACTCTCGGCGCTGCGAACCACACTGAACAACATGGCCAGCAAGTGGGGCAAGGAAATCGTCGTGGCCGAGCTGAACTGGCCGACGTCTTGCCCGTCGCCGGCGCAGCCTTTCCCGAGTGACCTGAGGGACATCCCTTTCTCGGCCCAAGGTCAGACGACCTTCATCCAACGGGTTGCTGACGTCGTGAGCAAAGTCAACAAGGGCAAGGGTCTCTACTACTGGGAACCTGCTTGGATGAACAATCAGGCGCTGGGGTCTTCTTGTCCATCGAACACGCTATTCTCGTGGCCTGGAAATGCGCTGTCGAGCTTGTCCGTCTTTAAGAGCATTTGATGCATACCACTAGCATACGCCGGAGAAACACGAGATATCATCCTTTCACCCTAGCCTTGATTTCATGTATATATTCGCGATTGTCAGTATGGCTGCAAATTGCACTGCCTTCGGCTCACAGGCTCCATTGATATTAAGCATGTTCAGTCAGTCTCAGGGATGTCCTTGACAGTGGGCTGCTTGTTATGGCACTGATCATGCAACTCATGGTCCTCGCCCTATGAGGACCGTGATTATCGATGAGAAGAGTCTCCTTCTCAATAAGTCACCCAAAGCTTTGAGGCTTACTATCGACCTCTTGATGAGGTTCAAATGCAGCACACAGTGACACCCAATTGAGCTGACCCCACAAGATAGGGACGGCGCCACCCACACCCACGCGACAAAGCCACGAGATGGCCCAATCGTCCGCCTACCATTGCATTTCAGCAGACCATACACCGTCCACCTACCTTCAGATCCAGTTCTATCGCGATCAAAGCCTGTATCATCTTTGACGGCACAGATATCACATGACTAGACGTCCTCTTTGAGAGATTAGCTTGCAACATGTGCCAATTGTCAAGAATCGAGAACGACCCCGCAGCAGCTGAGGAGAACAGGACGGACCACCTCACACCAGCATTTTCATGCCAACGCCTCAACTCAACTACCTTTGTCGTGCAAGAGAACGATAGATGGGGCGAGGAACCATTGATTTATGTCAAAATCTATCCGCACGATATTGTACTCATTGATTCGGGCTGCGGAGGATCGTCACAAACGCCCACCATAGATCTCACGCTCAAAGTGTATCTCGAGACGGTTCCAGTACCTGACAATGAAGGCCTTCCACTGAATCGGTCTGGTGTGAGACCGTATACAATTATCTCTACTCATTGCCATTATGACCACATCGGTATGGTTCATTCTTCTCCTTACTACCGCGGCCTTCTGACTCTAGCGATCTAGGAGGAATTCCCGAGTTTCTGAGGACCTCCGGACTTGCCGTCTGGGCAAGCTCTGCGGGGAAAGACTTTCTGACAGATCCTCATAAACTGAACAGCGCCTCGCTATGTGCTTTCATCGGCATGGAGCTGCCGAGGTATCATGTTACCCACTGGGCAGAAGATGGTGCTCGAGTGGTCAGCAGTTCTGGGCAGGACCTGAACTTGGTGGTTCTTCAAACACCAGGCCACATGCCCGATGAAATTGCTATTTGGGATGCGAAGGAGCGCGTCTTATTTGTTGGTGATACGGTTTATGAGCGCGCACCTATCCTTTTCCCGGAGGGTGGAAGTATCTCCGAGTATCGAGATACAATCGATAGGTTACAGCAGCTCGTTCATGGTTGGAATGAAGAGGAAAAAGTAAATTGCAGTAAGTTCTTCAGCATGCTTGTGCTCCGATTCCGTCTCTCCTTGCAACCCCTTCTAAGCTTATTCTGAGCAGGCAAGGTCACGATTGCCTCGGGACATATCACCAAAAGCGCGGATGCGGCCAGATTACTTGCTCAGACTGGGTCATTTGTGTCTAAAGTACTTGCCTCAGAGGCCTCTGTGGAGGACCTTGGGATTGATTGTTCGTGGTTCGGAGGAAAACCGGCGGTCCAATTCAAGGATGGAGAGAAGGGCATAACATTTCAGGGTTTGAAGACGTCTTTTGAAGGCTTAGTCTGACATTATCTTCATACTCAGTACAGCGATACACAACAATCATTGCAACTGATTATTGCTGTATTGTAAATCCATATTGACTTCAGAACAGAGTGATGCTGTTCCCAGCCCTGTTCACGCGTTCGGAAGGCCGTGTGGATGGGTTGGCCAAGAAAGGTCTGCCTCTATCCACTGGATGTGCTGCAGAAGAGGGAAACACCACTCCAGAGTGCAGGACTTTTCTTACTTGCTCAATTCCCGAAATTGGACAAGACAAGTGTGTTCCTGATATGGTCAGTGCTGAAGGCGTGGCTGTGAAAGGGGAGACCAACCCGAGTCTTTGCGAATCGGTCATCTGAAAAGACCTCAACACGTGCAGTGATTCCTGGAGCTACACCCTCGAAACCTGGCGCTATGGATGTCCTGTACTTTCGATAGAGAGCGGCAGTAACGGTGGTCATTTCCGCCATGGCCAAGCTACTGCCAGTTAGCCCACAAACCGTCTGCTGGGATGGCAGCTAAGATATTCACTTACTGCATGCCGATGCACATTCTTCCACCACTCGAGAACGCCCAAAAATGACGGTTTAATTCAACTGCTTCTGATCCTAACCACCTCTCCGGGTTGAATGTCCTGGGGTCTTTGAACACCGTCGGATCACGGTGAATGATATAAGGCGACATCCCGACAACAGTGTTTGGTGGAATCTGGAAGCCGTCGACTATTGACTGCGCATTCGTGGATCTCGGTTCGGTACTCGGTAGGGGCGCGTAAAGTCTCAATGTTTCCTTAATGACCGCGTTGAGATATGTGCATCGATCTGAGGCGTCCACGCGTGGATGTCCATACTCATTAAGCGCATCTCCTGTCAGGCCCATTACCTCGTCTCTCAACTTGGCCTGGCACTTCTCGTTTTCGGGAAGAGAGAGCGCCCAAACCAGAAACATGAGGGTATCGCTCGTCGTATCGATTCCGGCGAGGAAATGGTCTGCGCATTCCGAAGCCAATTGCATGTCATTCATACCGTTGGGCTGTTGCGACTCATGATAGCGCCATAGCTGGCCGATTATAGATGAGTCTTCAGCACTGCTCCAGTTCCCCGAGATCTTTGAGCCCTTCTGCGCCGATTTGAGATTCTGAAAAGCTTGCAACGCGAATCTCCGTATGCTGGTATATGTAGTCGGTTGTTGCATGGGCAGGATCGGCTTTACAATCCAGGCCATGAATGGTTTGCATGAGTACAGCCACTTTGTGTATGATGGAAAGTGCACCAAGAACCACGATAGCCGGCGGCGCGATGGGTGCAAGATATCGTCAATCAAGGCTCGATCATTCTTCGACCCCTGCAGGGCACGCGTCGACCCATGTTTTCCATAGACAAAAGCGGTGATGTTGTCTAGCGAGTAGTAGTGCATCGAGAGAAAGACATCGCTGATGCCCTGTGGCTCAGTGCTGATCAAGTCAAGATACTGTCGGGCCTTCTCCTCCACGAGGCGTGTCGTTGGCTGCTTCAGCACAACCGACTTCGAATAGGCATGGGAAAGTAGTTTCTTCCTGTTGCCGTGTTCCTTCGTCGAGTGGAATGTGAACAGGTTTTGCTCGCCGTACACATCAAACATGCGGTAAAATGTCGTCCTGCCAAATCGACTGCCAGGCCCGTAGATGGTCCGCAATGCACTCAGGCTGTTGAAAGACACCTCATTTGGCCCGATGCGCACTACCGGACCGTATTCGGAGTGCAATCGAAGGATGGTCCGCGTACGCGTGGCATTCCAGTCTTCCCAAGCCAGTCGCCAGCGGCTGAGGGCAAAAGACTTTGGTCCAGGGATATTGCTCAAAGGGCTGGTGATCAATGGTTCTACAACCAGAACATTGACGAGGTAAACGAGGGCCGCAACCAGCGCTGCGACGGCAGATAGAAAGGTCACTCCCGGCATGCTGTTGCTTGGTGCCTAGTTTTTGATGGTGGCTCTGCGGACGTGATCATTGGAATAATTCAATTCACAGCCTACCTTATCTGGCGAAGGAACAACTATTAATACACTTCACGGGAATGCGCCTCGGTTCGAGTCAATGGAATCGACGAGTCGCAGAGCAGCGATTGATAAGTTTTTGACAAGTGACCGACCAGCGCCCTTTGGTAGCGCTGTTTGTGTGCGGAGTATGCTTTGTCCGCTCAGCCCCAGCTTGCTCCCGCCTGTGAAGCGTATCCAAGCTGTCAGCTTTAACAGTCTGTGACAGGACGCGACCATTTTTTCAGGAGGACTTAGCGGGCAATATTACAGATCACTGCGTCTGTTTCTGGCCATGAATCTAATTGAAGCGATGCAGACAGAAGGTACGAAACGTTGTGAAGCCTGCGCGTATTGGCGAGCGATTCCTACAAAGGCTCTACCGGTCAGCACTCAGTCACCTGTCAACGCGAACATGAGCAAGATTGTTGAGATTTAAAAGTGCGGATTTCTAGTCGCCAGCGTCTGGAAACGCTTTGAAACTGAGTATGTATCAGTAAGGGAGTCGCCATGGTGTGCAGGTCCGACGAGCACGCCAGAAGGGCCATGCTAAATCCCAATATTAGACACTTCGCCGGTCGGAAGGCGTAGAATTTCCGGGCTCATTCACCAGCCATCTCAACCAGATGCAATAGAGCCTGACCATCTTAGGCACCCCAGACGTTGCCTCGAGGCTTGTGGGCTTGTTCTGTCTCCCTCTGAGGTCGCGACGAGCCATGGAACAGTTTATCACTCGGTGAGACGGATTACTAAACCACATGCCCCACATCCATCCTCTTTGTGGCGGGGTATCCCTTTGGTAGTAGGTGGCGGGTGTGGGAGTTGGGCCAAGCTTGTATTTCGTCGTGGCCAGGTGGTCTTCCAACCTTCGCTTTCCGTCTTATTGCCATCTATCACAGCCCCGGGACAACAGCTGTGTAGTATAACGAACTGCCACCATGGGAGATGCTTGTTTGTTTCACCCTCCGACAACTCTGATTGTCGGCGGGAACGGCAAAACCGCACGTCATCTTACCTCGCTCCTCACCTCCGCAAACCCCGCCCATGCCGTCTACAGCATCATTCGCAACCCTGACCAGGTTCCCTCGCTCATCGCCATCGGCGCTCATCCCATTGTTCAAGACCTGGTCTCCGGCACAGTGGAAGATTTTGTCAAGATCCTCGAGCGCACCCAGCCCGACACAGTCGTGTGGGCCGCCAGCAACCCCCGTGCCCCTGTCGAGGTCGACCGTGACGGCGCCATCAAGGTCATCGATGCCCTCGCTCAGGCTGAGATCCCGCGGAAGCGCTACGTCGCTATCAGCTCTGCTGATGTGCGCGACCGCAAGAGGCCGACGCCTGATTGGTACAGTGAGGCAGACATCAAGCTGAGCGACCGCATGTGGGGGGTTATTGAGCCGGCGCTGAGGGCTAAATTCGAGGCCGACAAGGACCTGCGTGTCAACAACCGGAGCCGAGGAATCGAGTACACCATCATTCGGCCTGGTGGTTTGACAGAGAAGGAGGCCGAGGGCCGAATCAGGGCGGGCAAGGTTGGTCTCCAGGGTATGATCAGCCGGGCCGATGTCGCAGGTGTCCTCTTTGCTGCGATCGAGGATGAGTGGACCACGGGCCTGGCATTCGATATCCTGGGTCCCGGGGAGGGTGATTTGCCGATCAAGGAAGCTGTCAGGAGCGTGTCTGCGAAGCGCGAGGATACTTTTGACGGATATTATTAGACGACTGGATTCAAGAAATCCCCAAAGGACTGGATACGGTAAGGAATCTCGAGCCTTCAAAAGTTATGTTCCTGCTTGGTCACGATGACCTGGTTTACACATGTCGAAATTGGCCATTCAATTGTCTCGGGGCCATGGGTGACTGCATAGCACGAGCTGGACATCATGCGCCATCGCGCGACACTACTAGCAATCAACCCAACTCATCCAACGGAAAAGTCCTCTCGAGTGATGCCACTCCTGTCACACATTCCTCGAAATACTCCCGCCTGCCCCCAAAGCTCCAGTGGCGGACCTAGCTCGACAATACGGCCCTGATCCATGACGCAGACCCGGTCGTACAATAGGACGGTGCGCAGACGGTGAGCAATAGCGATTAAAGTCTTGCCGCTGCTAAGTTCTTGAGCAATAGTCTTTTGCACTAGGACATCAGTCGCGCTGTCTACGCTGCTGGTCCCCTCGTCAATGAGTGTGATACGTGCGTTCCTCAGGTGCGCACGCGCCAGGGCCAACAGCTGTCGCTGGCCGAGAGAGTAGTTCAGACCTTCCTCTTCCACGATGGCGTCAAGGGTGATCCGTGTTTCCCTGTTGTTCTCTGGGGGGTGGGCGGCTGTTTGTATGTCGCGAGGACTATGGTCGGTGGCGTCGGATGTTGCGCCTAACGCGAGGCCAGTGGCCTCAGACGAGTCTTCTCGAGGAAGGAGATGGGCCTGACGAAGGGCGTTCCACATTTCAAGATCGCTGTGTCTGCCAAATGGGTCCAGATTCGAACGAATCGTTCCACGGAACAGCGTAGGGTCCTGCGGAATAATGGCAAGCCTTGAGCGTAGACTGTGCAGACCAACTTGAGCGATATCGACCCCATCAACCATAATACGGCCACCGCTTAGCTCCGTGAGCCGGAACAAAGTCGAGAGAATGGTGCTCTTGCCGGCACCTGTGCGCCCAACAATGCCGATGCGCTCACCCCCGCGAATCGTCAATGTAAAGTTGTCAAGGACCAGGGGCAGCTCCGGCCTGTATCTCACTTGCACTGATTCAAATACAATCTCGCCGTTCTCTGGCCAGCTTGATCTGAGTCGGAGAGACGCGTCCTCCTCGAGCGAGGCTTCACGGGCGAGTGAGGATGTGTATTGGTGCAGTCGCTCGGTGCTGGACATGGAGTTGTCGACGTCGGCAAAGTATCGCACCGTAATCTGTATGATACCAACCAGACTAAGACTGTAACTCAAAATGAGCCCAGTGATGCTAGGCGACACAACCAGCGTCGTAGTCACAGCAAGAATCCCGGTCGTGAAAGACAAAATATTGCCTAGGTTGTCGAGTCGTAGGGACAGCCAACGTTGGTTCGCAAAGGTCAAGAAGTAGGCGCCGTCCATGTCGTCGATGGCTCGATAGATATCGCTGACATAGTGCTCCTCGCGTCCATACGCTCGTATCGTGGACGCGCCGACGAGTGCCTCGTTGAATTTCGCAAATACGGCCCCATCGAGAATCGCGTGGTAACGCTTTAACTCGCGGGCACTGCATCTATAATAAGACACAGCTAGGACTAAGACAACGGATACAACGGCCAAGGCGATGGCGAACTATACACCCGGGACGTCAGCTTGGTTGCAAATAACGGACCCCAGCTCGACTGACGTAGTGGAAGTAAGCGATGATAAAACCAAAAGATCCAAGCAAGGAGCTCAGTACGATGAGGTACTGCCTGAAGGAATCAGTGAGGCTGTTGTCCATTGTATCAACGTCCTTCGTAAATCGATGTATGATGCGACCTAGTGGTGTGGTGTCAAAAAACACAATCGGGGCTCGGAGGATCTGCCACATCGCGTCGTTAGACATTGTCTGGCTCGCTCTGGTACCCACAATGCAGACGACCATGGAGAAAGCGAAGAGGAGAACGGCTTGCGCGACACCCAGACCGGCATACAAGCCAATCTTTGTCTAGTCAGCAAGGAACTAAACGCATGTTCGTGACAGGAGGAGACCGGACGACTCACATATGACGCGCGGGAGAGGCCATAAGCATCCGATACCCACCATGCTAGTGAAAGCGACGTCAGTAAGTTTGCAGCTCGGAATATGCACATGAGGATGAGCACTGCTGCCATGTTCAGGATACTCCCGGAGGACTTCATCCAGACATGGTAGACAGTCCAAGGAACGCTGTCGACGGCCTTGACGTCTTCTTGCATCAACTTCTTGTTGTCATCACTGACAGAGTCGTTCAGCAATCCTGCGCATTCCTTGGAAGCACAAGTGCTGTCTTCCATCTCATCATTTACTTGCGACTCGTCAGAGCTCACAACACCTGACGTTTGCACGAACCTTCGGAAAGAAATTGAGCTTTCCAGAAGACTTTCGTATTTGTCGACTGCCTCGATGCGGCCATTCGTCATCCACATGACCCTATCACATCGGTGAAGAACTTGCAGTTGATGCGTAACGAGCACACAGCACTTTCCATGCAGAAGACCGCTGATGGCTTGGTTGAAGATGTGATTCCCAACATGTGCATCAACCGCTGAAAGAGGATCATCGAGAAGAACAATTCCGGCATTTGAGTAAATCGCTCTTGCGATGTTCACGCGTTGCTTCTGCCCGCCGGAGAGGGTGATCCCCTTTTCGCCAATTTCGGTAAGGTCGCCATGGGGAAGCAACGCAAAGTCGGCTTCAAGGGCACAGGCGTGGGTAACACGACTGTAGAGCTCTTTCTCAAAATCTCTTCCAAACAGAATGTTTTCCCGGATAGTAGCGTTCTGCAGCCATGCAGACTGCGGACAGTAGGCGACGTTAGAGTTGAACTTCATGGTCCCCTGAACCAGACGCATGTCGTTCGCCAAGGCACTGAGCAGCGATGATTTGCCACAGCCCACCGAACCAACGACTGCTACAAGCTCCTGCGAAGATATTGCAACAGAAATGTTTTCAAGAGAGAATGGCAGTTCGTAGCTCTGCCCTGCCACCTTTTCGCCATCGTGTCTGGGCGTACACGCGTTATCAGCCTCTTTTGGCGGGTAGCGGCCGAGTGTTCTCAATTGACGGGTCTTTCGGCTTTGAGCTGCAGTCTCTGTCGCTTTTTCCTTGTATACAGTGGAAGATTTCTCCCAAGTAAAGGTTGCGTTCTGTATCTGGATAGCATGGTTTAGACCGGGCGTTGCACCAGGGTGGGCAGGAGACTCTTCAGATAATAGCAATGCTTCAAATCGCTTCAACGCAGCGTCGGCATCAACCAAGTGACCGATCGATGTTGGGAGCCAGTTCATAGGTGTCCGTAAACTGTTGAAGAGCGCCAGCGATGAGAAGATAAGCGCTGGGTCCAGCGGCCCAGAGTTCGTGGATGAGTAAACCAAGAAGGCTGTCATGCTGGAAAATATGGGAAGCGCCATCGACGCAGCACCGATGGCGCTTTTCGTGATATGTAAGATCTGCAGTGAACTTGTTTCCGAGGCTCTTATTCCCTGAAGTCGACGGAGAAAGGCCGATTCCCAGCCAAAGTATTTGACGAAGCGGATGCCATGAAGGATCTCCTGTGTGAGTCCAGCTCTCTGATCTGTGACCATATTGACGGCGGCTCTCAGACGTGCTAGGACCTTGACCACTTTGGTCAACGCTGTGAGGCCGAGAACAAGCACCGCAACACCTGCCAATGCGCTATATCCCAGGTTGATGATCAACAACGTAATGGTAAGTAGAATGGCGATCGGCGACGTCCACACAAGGTGGAAGGTGGTGCACGATTGTTCAATGCGCGATACGTCGGTGGAAATCAAACCCATGACACGACTATTAGACCATCCCTCTTTTGAGGCTTGCCATCGAAGTTGATCGTGTGGCTGCCCTGTCGGGACTATTGTAGCCTCGGTCATACCAAGTTCACCGCCCGCTCTGGCTCGCCTTGAGAGCCGGAGAGACTTTGAAAATGCCACAGCAATCAGTGCACTCCGGCTTTGGCCCCCGAGTAATGTGCTGCGGTAGTGGAAGTGGCTCGAAGAGAAGCTCTGTATCACCTGCATGGCAGTTATAGCCAGCACGAGGCCGACACCGCGGCCAAGGGGTGGTTGCGAATCTTGTTCGCCCCTAATGAACGAATGGGCATCTCTAGCGAAGATTATCAAGAAACGCAGGGTGAAGGGAGCCATGGCCTGCAGAATAGACTCCACAAGTTGACACAGCCCACCAACCCAGAAGTCAAACTTGAAGCAGCGGTGGAGTGCCCATGCAAGTACTGGTAGGCCCCAAAGGCGTCGGGATCCATGGTGTTGTTTGTCGATAGCCAGGTTCTCGAAGGACTTTATGACACTCTGCGCCAGATAACTGGCGGAACGTGCTTGTGGTACGAGCCAGATATCCTCATACTCCAGTGGCCTCTTGTAACCAGTCTGTAATCTTCGGAGTCAGTGATGCACATCACACGGGAGAGCGCCCTTCTGAGCTAAAGAGACAGGTGGGAAACGTGAGGGTTGCAAGAAATCACCATAAGCAGAGGACCAAGCCATGCGAAAAGAAGCTGACTGATGAAACTGGCATTTTCTTCAGGAGAAGGTATTCGACTTCTTGGTACGTCTGATGTCCGACGAGCTCTGAAAGGGTTGAAGTGTAGCATGGTTAGAATGTTTGTTAGCCACTCTCTCTACCTCACAGAGCGCACAATCAGGGGCTGGTAGCTGGCTTCAGGGCAACACAGGGGTCGTCGACCGTTGAGAGCTTTCCCTTGTCACCTAAGTTCAAATTCGCTCGACAAATTCACTGCCAGACAGCACTCCGCTCTTCTAAGTGTCTAACATACTAAACTTTTGGCCTTTAGAGAAGTTCGATACATCCTACATCATTAATCATCAGCCCTTGTTTGCGTGCGATGCCTCAGGATCTGCTGGTAGATTGGCCAGCCACTGACCAGTGGCACCAGTGCGTACTCAGCAAGGTAAGCGGTCAGGGCCCCAAGAGACCATTCTGTGGACCAATATGGTGAGATTGGCGTTTGCCGAGTCTGCTAATTGAGCAAGTTATGACCTTGCATACGAAGCTGTCGCGTCAGCATATTGACCCTGCATAGGCCCCTGTCTGATGCCCGGGAGGGTGTGGCGGGGCTTTTAGGGTGGCCATCACAGTTGCTGTTGCGGATCAGTCCTGCGAGAAGGCTAGATGACGCTGCTACGTGCCGCGATAGCCTGTTGCTTCGCCAGGACTCCCAACAGATATTCGAGATGGCGACTCGAGGACTGTTCTTCGAGGAGCATAGGTAGCTATTTGAGGCCAGCATGGGCATATTTTTGGCCTCATGTCACATAATCTGCCGAAACTCGCTGCCTGATAGACCTTTGCGAAAATGACAGTCACACATCTCCTCCCTCTTGACCCTGCTATTGCAGTCCAGCACCACATCGGCAAGATCAAGCGAGCTACTGATAGCCTCGAGGGTCTGTATCCCCTCAACTCGATTGACAAGGTTAACGCCGCAATCCCTCACTGGAATGAGCTTTACGGCGTCATCGGCTTCACTACTGTCGACACTGAAGTAGAGCAACGACTGCTTAAACATCCAGACGTGATCAATTTGTTGCCTAGCACGCGCCGGGCGGTTCTCGAATGCGAAGCAGCTTTCGAAATTGCGTTTGCCAACGAGATTGCCGAAGCTCCAGAGTCTTCGACGGCGCGCCTATCCCTTTCACGATTCCCAATTCACGCATTTTACGAACATGCCGCAGAGCTGGAGTGGACGGCTGCATCTACAGTTCTGGGGCGTACACCACGCTCTGTTGCTATCCTCGGCGCTGGTGCCCTACCGGAGACCTGTATTTGGATTCAAGACTGGGCTCGGACACGTGGCGAGCGTGTCCGTGTTCATAATGTTGAGCTGGTGCCGTCAAGGCTCGAGTTGAGCCAGCGGGCGATGGCAACGCTCGAGCTGGATTCTGAGGACACTACGTATGAGGCCGGCGATGCACGAGAAGTACCCAGGGATCTAGGTCGCTTTGATGCAGTGTATTTCAACGCCACCGTCGGCTCAACTGCCGAAGAGAAGGAGGCAGTCTTGCTCGAGGTGGCAAGCCGCATGACCAGTGGTTCAATTATGGTGTCTAGGGGCTCTGCTTCATTAAAGTCGCTATTCTATCCAGTGAGTATAAGCTCAGACTAAGAGAAGCAGCAAGACATAACACTAACCTTCGCAGCCAACGATAATGAACTCTCCCAAGTTGATGAAGAAGTTGATGCCTGTTTTAACGTGTCACATGAATGGAGAGGAGGGCAGAAGCATCAATACGTCAATCATTGTATCTAGAGTCATCTGAGAGCTGTCGACTGCTCATCACTTGTGCTACGCGCAGCAAACTAGCGCTTCGTCCGTCCAACTTTTGAACAGAACCCTTCTGAGTTTGAATCTAGAAAATTGCTGATTGTGAAGAACTGGAACCATGTCCTCTCATGTACAACAAATGGTCACTGATTCGAGGCCCGTTGGCTTCTCTGTTCCTTCCCCTCCATTCTGGCTCACAGCCACCTTGACCACCATCCAGTCGGTAAGAAACTTGCCCAAGCCGGCGCCAACAAAGATAGCAACGATGATGTAACCGTTGAAGGACATGACCAGCAGCATTACTATGTAGGCGACAGAAAAAGTGATGGCGTACAAGAGCGATCGTATGGCCTGCTGCAAGGGACTGACACGAAGGCTAACGATTCGGACAGTAGGAGAGCTTTTGTTCGAGGGTGGTAACAGCGATGGGTTGGCGAGAGTAGCGGCCGTCACGCTTCTTTCCATCTGCGCAACAATTGAAGTATCGTACTCTTTACATGCGCGCCGGCACAGCTCGAGAGTGACGGCCAGGAGGGCGACACCAATACTTGAGGCAACCATCATGCCTTCAGTTCGGATGTACCATGATTTAGCGAGGAAACCTAAAACACGAGAACCTTGTTAGCATCCTCGCTCAGAGGTAGATGTTTGTCTTCAAGGGCGTGATATGACGACTAACACGATCCGACGGTGTTCCAGTTCCAGATCATCTAAGACAAGGTTAATCACCTGTAATCGCGATTTCACGTCCGGGTACGCCGAAACGCTGAGAAAGGCGCGGGGATAAGTTACTCACCTCCATCTGGCACTGGAGATCACTGTCATCTGAATGCGATCCATGGCTCATTTTCGAGAGGTCACCGAAGTCGTAATACGAGTGAAAAATGGTATGGTTCGTGAAGCTCTGGAGCTCGAAGTTTGGAGGGAGTTTTTGTCTGGATTCTGATGACGAGATATTGACTTTCTAAGTAGGCTGGCCTGCTGCCGGGATCTTGTAGAGCTGGGCCACCATGGTGACCACACGTGAGATTGGTCAAAGATCAAGCGTCTGGGTCAATCTGGCGAGATACCACACCGATGCTGAATCCTGCTCAACAATCCAGAAGACGCTGGCCGGGTCGCAGGGATGTAACCCAAGAAAGTTTGCATGTCATTGTAGATCTTGCCTTTTGTGGCATATTCCGTGCCGAGAAATTGTGTCCCCCACGAGGTGGTCTGCAGGGTGTTCTGAGACACCACCAACAAGCCAACCATAACCTTCTCAATTATGCTCTGTGGCTTAGGTCCTCGTGCTCGGGACCATGCGCGAACAGGGGAGTTTGCTCGCAATTCTAGTTTACAGGACTTTCAGTGCTCGGCCCGTCATCCGTTGCCCAAGCACCACGGCTCGTTAACATCACCGCCAAGAGTTTCTGCATTCACACCCTGCGAAGCAAGCTTTGTTTATGGCGTTGGAGGGTGGAGAGCTTTTGTGCCTGTATATTACGGAATTGATCACCAGGTTTCGGTGGAAATGTGTATGCTGGAGTCTGCGGCATTGCCGCAACCTACACTTGATACAAAGCATTTGCAGATCCTCCTCTGCCTCCCGTCGACGCTTTCCATCATTCATACTGCTTAGATTCTCAGTAGGCTTGACTTTTCCCTCGAGAGTCCTGCAGCAAACATTTTCTTGGTCAAAGCGGTAACCCATCGCCCTGCGACGACCCAAAGCCTTTCTTTCGGCAATACCTATCTAGATCGCCGGCTCAAGTCTAGTTTGGCTGATCTTTTCATCACCATGGCCGACGGGGCAGAGGTCAAACCTTACAAAGTCTGGCACTATGGGTATCATCCGCGTACGCTACCTTGTACTGCTGACCAGGCCAACTGCGATTATCTCGACGCCCTCTGGGAGGCCAACGACCTAGGCATGGTCTATTCCGGCATTCTCTGGCTCATTGCTGGCGCAGTCCTTCTGATCATTACTGTGGGAAGACGCTCGCTTGTCTCACGTCGCACGAGACCCTTCGTTTTCTCGTCTACATCCAACAAAGCTGAAAGCGAGTCTGCACCTCTCACAGGGACGCAGCTTCCGAGCTCAACGTCGCCGGCAATTGTCTCTCGTCCTCTTCGTGCCGCAGCTGCCACGGCTCGTTCTTACCTCCTCCCTGATTCAATCCGCTTCGTTTTTGGACGCACCACGAGACTACAAGTCCTTATCCTCACCATATTGGTCATTTACTTGACCATTTTCTCATTTGTGGGGATGACATACGCTCTTTGGATTTCCCCCGTCAAGGACCATCCTGGTGTCTACAAGGAACAGAACACTGCTGGAATCTGGTCCAATCGCATTGGTATTCTTGCGTACGCTATCACTCCCTTTTCCGTACTTCTCGCCAGTAGGGAATCCATCCTGTCGATTCTTACAGGCGTCCCATATCAGGCTTTCAACTTCCTGCACCGCTGGGTTGGCTACATCATCCTGCTTCAGAGCGTGCTCCACGCCATCGTGTGGTGCGTCATCTGCATCGGGCTCTATGGCCCACAGCCAGAGTATGCAGTCAACTGGGTAACGAAGGAGTACATGGTGTATGGTCTTTGCGCCATGTTCCTGCTTCTCCTCATGTGGTTTCTCAGCCTTGGTTTCATGATCCGCCTCACTGGGTTTGAGTTCTTCCGCAAGACGCACTATGTCCTGGCCATGGTATACATCGGCACTTGCTGGGGTCACTGGGAGTTTCTTGGCGACTGGATGTTGTGCGGGCTATTGCTGTGGTTCTTCGACCGGCTGGCCAGACTCGTGCGCATGACCCTTCTTCATCACCAATATGTCGGCGGCGATTGGGGCTTCCACCCGGCTCAGGCTCGGTTGACGCTGTTTCCAGACGCAGACCACGGCGATGTCGCGCGCCTAGACTTCACCTTCAATCAGTCGCCTTGGCATGTCGGGCAGCACTTTTATTTGTGCTTTCCCGACAGCAGCGTATGGCAGTCGCACCCTTTCACGCCGCTTTCTCTGCCTGTTCTGGGAAAGGAAGGCCTCGTCAAGCACTCCTACGTTTTCCGCGCGAAAGGCGGCGAGACGAAAAAGATTGCCGAGCTTGCGGCTCGTAGGCTTGCCGAGATGCGAAACGCAGGATCTTCTCCGTTGCCTACGACGCCAGTAATCCTACAAGGGCCCTATGGCGAACATTCCACTCGCGGAATAGATGGAGGTGTCAATGTTCTGGCTATCGCAGGTGGTACAGGTATCACGTATGTGCTGCCAGTCATTCTTGAAACGCTCCAGTCCCAAGTCGATTCAGCGTCGGCAAGCGACCGCACTGATCGCGCAATTCAACTCGTCTGGATGGTCCGCCACCGCGACGACGCTCGCTGGATAGAGGCTGAGCTTGAATTGATCAAAGCTTCGGCCGGAAAACACAACATCCAGGTGACGATCTTCGTCACCCGCGAGCAGGAGGAATCTGGCAAGGACAACAACACTAGTGCCAATGAGAAGCTTTCCAGCGATCAAAAAGCCCGCCAAGTAACGGATTCAAGCTCATCTTCATCCTTGCCTGATACAAACGGCATAGCTCTCAAGGATATTGTCACTTATAGGAATACGGCGGACTCAAATGACAGTGTTCGCCGGCATCCCGACGTCGGCACCGTCGTCCAAGACTTTGTAGGAGAGACAGTGCAGGGTCCTACGGTGGTCTTCGCGAGTGGACCAGGTGCTATGATTAGTGAACTTCGCAAATCTGTAGCCTCTTTAAACTCTGGGAAGCAGGTGTGGCATGGAAATGAGCGTTGGGACGTCGAGCTGAGAGAAGACAATAGGTTGGATTGGTGAGACTGCCTGCAAGGAGTGTCCGTTCACAGAACATGTCATATCACGAGAACCTCTCCGACAATTAATTACACTCGCTTGCTGTAAACATTCCTCTTTCAAAACTTTCTGCTCAAGCACATTGGTTAACAGAAAGAAACCAGGTACTACACTAGTCAGTGACATTGGCCATAGTTCGAGTTCAGGACGTAGACAACATGAAGAGTCTCGTCACTCGTTTCCGGAAGAATTGCCAAATGAATCATCGCGATAGTAATTGTTTAGACTGTGTTTTCATTGAGTGGAAAGCGAGCTGAAGTGGGGGATAGAAGAATGGCCTCATTGTTCTGTATGCTCATCACAGCGTGGCTTGCAAATACAGCACATGCCACACGTCACGCATTTTCGGTGTCAGCCTCTATCACACAAAACGACCAGGATAAAAACGCTCTCAAATGGCCGCTACTTCATGCAAAGTCAATGATACTGCAGGAGTACTTCCGTGTACCTTTTCAAAACCCCACAAACATGCGCAACCCCACACCCCCGCGCATGTGTAAGCTTACGCCATGCAGAGAGAACACCCCGACGCTCCCTTACTCGTCAGCGACTTGATCGGGGAGACATATCTTTTTGTGGACGTTTCTGCGAATTTCCTTCAGGAGAAACTTTTTTTTTGTCTACCGAAAAGAAGTAGAACCAGAAGTGTCGACTCTGTATGTCGTATTAGAAGTATGCCAGCAGCACGAGAAGCGAAGAACGTTCGAGCCGCCCTTATTCGAGGATCTAGTATGTCTTTTCCTCCATGTCATTAGCTCACCATCTACAAGGACTCATTGCTAAGCTTTCATGTAGAGTCTGTCGAGTGTCAGTGGTGGCTCCGTGATGACGCTACTCATCACCACTTGAAGAGGGTCTATGTGAACCCGGTCGCTGCGCGAGACTCGCGCCTGGAGGCCGTTGCCTCCGACTCGAATCCAAATGCTAGCAGTTCTTTGATCATTGTTGAAGATCGAAGTAGCTTCTCACATAGGGAACAGACTGTTTTGACCGAGGAGAAGTCAATCCTTCTGGAGGAAGCCTTCAACTATCTCTTCTCAGCAGCATGCTCCGAAACAGCCACAACTGCTTATGCGGGCAAGTCTCGTGATCAAGGCCTCGCCTTACATTCCTGTGTGTTTCTTCTTGCCGAAAATGGAGGCTTTGCCGTCCGTTCCGACTTTCTGGTGTATCGACTGCTGGGATGTCCGCAAGTGGCGTCGTCATGCAGCTTCCTTTCTACGTCCACCAGAATCCTTCCCTTCACAGGGTTCATCGACACGTGGAAAGACGTTACTAGAGCACTGGAAATCGCAGCTGGCGTCGTCTTGCTAAGGTCGCACACTCTGGTGGCATCCGGACTTCGCACGCCGGCATGTGAAATCCCCAATCTCGAAGAGTGCACGTCATCATTTGAATGGCAGCTGGAACAGCGACTATCCTTTCCATGGCTTCAGCCAACTGCTATTCGGCAATATCGAGTCTGCCTTGTTATTGGCCCCCAGATTGTCCAAAGTTGGCTATCAAGGTGGCAGGCTGCGGCAGCCCTCGGGGTTAAGCTCGTGATTATCACAAGCGGCGACTGGTGGGCAGACGATCTGGTGGATACTTCACTTCAATATCTCAGAGAAGCTCTTGTCCTGATTGATATGAGTACGAATAACGACGGAAATGGTTGCCTTCTTGGGGCGCGTATTGCTCAAGCTGCCAGAACATACCCAGAACCTATCGATGGTATATTCACCTCCTCCGACGATTACCTCGTCAGTGTGGCACACGCAGCCGAGGCGCTGGGTCTCTACACTCCAGGTGTGAAAGCTTTCACTGTTTCCACGGACAAATTCTACACTCGTATGTTTAGCGGTCAGGATATTGGCAGTACCTTCGCCGTCAAGTCCGTCGGCGAACTGGAGAGTCAAATCGGGACAGCGGGAGACATGGACGGGAAGCTGCAATACCCTGTTGTCTGCAAGCCGTCCATAGGCCGAGGGTCTGAAGGCGTATTCAGAGCCGATGATCCAGATGAGCTCCAGGACGCAGTCAAGCGCATCTTGGCCATCCGAGATTGCCCCAATGGTGTAGTAGTCGAAGACTATGTCGAAGGGCCGGAAGTCGATGCAAACCTGGTGCTGCGCGATGGTCGTCTCCTCTTCGCCGAGGTGGTCGACGATTTCCCTTGCACTGCAGATACGTCGTCCAGCTCTCAAGGAGGCACCTTCAATGAGACACAGACCCACACCCCGTCTGGCCTGCCGAAGAGCGAACAGGCCTCAGTGATCGAAGCAATGAAGCAGGCCGTTTTGCTTCAAGGCTTCAGATCGGGGGTTTTTCACTGCGAAGCAAGAGTGCGGAACTCCAGCATGGACTACGTCGTGGACCCGATGGTGCCATTTCCGGTGCTCCAAATGCTCAAAACATGTACCAAGACCAACAAGAATGAGCCTTCGATATTTTTGCACGAGATCAATGCCAGGGCCCCCGGAATGGGCAGCTCAACCGCCAGTCTGTTCTCCTCCGGTGTCGACTACTGGGCCCTTCAGGTTCTTTGTGCGCTTCGCGACTGGGCTAGGTTCGAGGCACTTTCCATCCCGTTCAAGAACTCCCCAACCAATTTCGTCTCGCTCGCCAATGTAGCTGTCGACGTGAGTTTAGCGCAAATGCGCGCACTCGACATCCCTGGATTTGCCTCCACTACAGGAAGCGAAGAGGGGCCCAAGCCCAACACCCGGATAGCGATCGATGGAGACGCATACCCAACTGGTGAATTACGGCGCAGCCGCCCCGAAATCATGCAGCATGTGCCATATCACGTCACCATAGCAAGGCCCAGCGATTGGTACGCAGGACAAAAGGGTAGCTGGCGATGGTTCACGACCGGGGTAGTCGTTTCGCCGCTGAGCAGAGAGCACGCCTTGACGATGGTGGACAGCTTTACTCGAAGCTATGAGGAGCTTTTGCACGAAGCGCCAAAGGGATCGGCAACACATTTGCGACCTTGAGCGCGCAGCATGTGAACACGAGTTATGTAGACGTAACAATAAGCTTATTCATTACCGCACTGCGGGCCGCCATCCGCTGCTTCGGCTGTGTAAAACGGTCTCCCTGGCTGACTCCACCCCCGCGTTCGATATGCTGCTGAGCTAGTTTGCGCTGGTTTTACCGCACGGCACTGCAAGGTGATCATGCAGCACGGTAAGCCACCATGTCATCAGGGAAATAATGTGCAGATGGCCAGCAACTACTGGCAGCCGTGAACCCTGTCATAAGGTGCCTCGACCCTGAAGTGTGCACATTGCATGAATGTATTGAGTCAGCTTGAAATTTACTCCCTTGCCCCAGCCTCTCCTGTTGTCACGTTCAGAGGTCAAGAAATGACGAGTGCCGTTTATTTATCATACCTTTCTATTAGAGGTTCAATATGCCATCATGGGATCTAAATCTGGAGCGCAATGTCCTTGCTCGCCAAGAGACAGCAGATGTGAAGCCCGGTTCGGCCGGATTTTGTTGTGACCAAGAGCCACCCAAGCCGTCTGATACGTGGTCTTCTCTTGCCATGCGCGAATGCCAAGGCCCTTGTCCCATGCGTGCATTAAAGGGCAGCAGATACTAGCAAATAGAAGTCCCATTTTAAAGCATCAGCCCCTGAGAGAATTGCGTTGTTGTGTTGCAGATCTGCGAAGGTTCGGTGCCTTGTTGAGAACATCCTGCAATGGTCCCTCTTGCGCCAATGACGACGTCCGTGCCGCTGACCTCCTGAGAAGGCCGGCCTTTTAGGCAATTTGATCACCATCCGAGGTGCCGTTATGGAAATTGCCTTTGGCCGTCCCTCATAACTGGAGTATGCATATGCACTTCCGTTGAGATTTCTTCCCTGTTCTGTTTTTTTTGAATCACCCTGAAGCATACGAATCACCAACGGGCGGGTACTTGCGCTACAAAGCGACGCTGTCTCTTTCTCAGGAACAGTGGCAGACCATTTTACACAGGCATGGCAGAAAAGAGTTGGCCTTTGGATACCGTTTGTCGCTTGGACCGTGTTCGCGAGCGTAATCGCATCGCCAAACGAAAGTCTCGTAAGTACCGTGGCGTGCGCAGCGACACATAACCACCTTCGAACCCATGGGCCGCGTTTCTAATGCAGACAAGCTTAGGCGCCCGCCAAAAGCTGACCCAGCAGTCTGGTTCTGAGGGAAGTACGTGTGCGTGCTCTGCCGCGAGTGAAGAGCCACCCGCTGCTGCCGACGAAGATCATGGAAACGGCTTGCTTGATAGTGAAAGTTCACCCATACTACAGAGCTCTTCGTCTTGGCAGGATTACTCACACCTAATTGCAAACGAACTTACACAATCTCCCTCAGGTTGGCATCAAGGTTTCGAAAGCCCCATTGATCCAACTTCGTCTTTAAGGGAGAGTTTGGTAACTGCAGCTGTCGAAATCCACCCACCGTCCAAAGCACTTCCCAACCTTTCCGCTCAGAACTACTATCCTACACCATCCTTCTCAGCAACACCCTCGCCCTACATAGCTCCATTAGAGTTGTTAGACTATTCTCATACGACTTCCACGCACCACCAACCCACGGTGGCACACTGTCGAGGCGAAAGATGGCCTGAGAACTTTTCCACGATCTGCTTGGCTGATGATTTGGTAGGTCCACATCCCAGAACGACTTCTTTAACACCATGGGAATAAAAGTGCTAATATCCGTTGAGTAGTCTCGTGAACAATCTCACAACAACTGTTCAACGGAAGGGTACACCCAGGCGGCATCTCTTCAATGGAATGATATGGTCGTATGTCCATCTTTCCCCATGACTTGCGATTGGTCTATTCACTCTAACACGTCCTCAGTCAGGACCTGCCGATTCGTCACAATACGAGCTGCTGTCAGAATCCGCGAAGCCTCGTCCTGGTGCAAGTTTGCTTCATATCGCCATCAAGAATGGGTCCGGAGGCATTGCCCACACTCTAGTTGTTGGTGGCGGAGCTGATGTTGATGCACGAGACGTTGCCAACGGCGATCGGCCCATTCATTGCGCCGTTAGGGGACGTTCTGTCTCAATGTCGCGTATGCTGTTGCATCATGGTGCCAGGCTGGACTTACGAAATGACGCGGGCCTGACCCCGCTAGATCTTGCTGTGAGGCTGCAGGAAGAAGACATTGTAGAGTTGCTAATTGAAGGTGGCGCTCGAGTCTTGTGACTGTGATGCGAGTGTTAAAAATCGGTATGATCAAAATTGAACCAAATTGACTTGGTGAAGACTAAAGGTTGACAAGGCTGCTTTGAAATCAGAACAATCTGATGTCTCATAGGCTACCCATAGAAGCACCTTCTTGCTTCGCCGCAAGATGGGACGTCTGGTCCAGAGCCTGCTCAAAATCCCGGACGATATCACTGATGTGCTCAATGCCTAGAGATAGCCTTAACAAATCCTCGTAAACGCCCATGTTCTCCATCTCCTCCGGGCTGCATTGTTTGTGCGTTGTTGACCAGTGATGCCCGATGATTGTCTTTGCGTCGCCAACATTCGGTGTGTTGGTGACTAGCTTGAACGCATCAATGAGGGCAAAACCTTCAGCTGCTCCGCCCTTGAGGCCGAAAGTGAGCACTGAACCAAAGCCGTGACCTGGTGTAAAATACTTTTTGGCCAATGCATGATCCGGGTGATCTTCAAAACCCAGGTATCGGACCCAGGCCACTCGCGAGTGAGCACGCAGCCAACGGGCAAGTTGATCAGCATTGTTTGTCTGCCTCTCGCATCTCAGCGGCAGGGTTTCGAGACCGATGCAGAGCTGCTGGGCTGAGGGTGCGGCAAGACAGGCGCCTGTATCTCTCATGAAATCCCACTTCAGCATCTGCATGTAGGCTCGAGACCCAAGAGCGGTGTAGAGATTGGTGCCGACAACCTTTTCAGAGCCGAACTGACGGCCGTGGAGTTGTGGAAATCGGGCGACGTTGGATTGCCAGTCCGACCGGCCTGTTTCGATGACGACGCCACCGAGAGTGGTGCCATGACCCCCTATCCACTTAGTGGCCGAGTGGATGATGATATCGGCGCCCCAGCGGGCAGGCTGGCAGAAATAGCCTGCCGCCGTAAATGTAGCATCGACAACGAGAGGTATTTGAGCCCCGTGAGCGATCTCGGCGAGAGGTTCCAGATCGGCAACTGAGAATTTCGGATTCCCTATGGTTTCGGTGAAGATGAACTTGGTTCGTTCATCTAGAAGCGAGCGGACGCGTTCGAGGTCATTGGTGTTGCAGAATCGACTCTCGACCCCCATTTGTGCCATGATGAGCTTAAATTGATGAAAGGTTCCCCCGTGGGTAAAGTTAGATACGATTACGTTGTCTCCAACCCTTGCCAGAGACATGGCAACAGTCAATGTGGCGGCTGCTCCGGACGCCAGCGACACAGCGTCGACGCCATCCTCGAGAGCGACCATGCGTCGTTCGAATGCATCGTTCGTTGGCTGCTCTTTGTAAGCGGGGAATGATACTGTGAGGCATGCATACCATACGTTACCAAAGCGGCTATAGACCCAACGCTGTACATCTGGGACAGCACTGAAGGCATCGTCGGCAGCAGCTGAGCTGGGAAACTTGAATGACGCTGAGTTAAACACTGGCACTGTACACTCTCCATGACGGGGAGTTTTATCGAGCCCTGCATGAATGACCGCAGTATCATAATGCAGATGCCATGCTGCGCCAGAGGAAGCGGAAGATTGATCTGTATCAGACCCCCTTGAGTCGACGTCGCCTTCGAGACGTGAGATCATATTTCCGAGCTCTTCCAGGTTAACGCAGTATGAGGAGGTTCTCTCGTTAGCGGGGCTGATGCGGGTCGTGAAGTTTCAGATGTTATGAGATTGCTGCAATACATTGACGAAGTACATAAAGAAGTAGGTATTTGCAGCTTGTATTGCCCGTTGCTGGCAATGCTTCTAGGAATCCAAACCTGCAACGACCCTGCACATGATCTAGCTTTGACCATGACCCTTGTTCCTTGTGACGAAGTTGACCTTTTCGGGGGGATCAGTCGAAAGCAACCTGGGGGGTCTGCTATTGGAGCACATAAGAGAACAATAGTCATGTCAGCCGCTGACCTTGCATGGTGCGCGAGATCTGGGTGTTGTGACCCTGCATATCGTACATGCAGGCATGTCGATCACGGCTTTTGGGACACGGAGTTCATCGAGGCTGCCCCGTATAGCGGCTTCTCCATATTTGTCAAGGTAAGCTGTTATTATGACAAAGAATACGAGCCAATGTCTTCATTTGTGAGCTTATAATTTTTCTGAAGATACGAAGTGCGCGATAGTCATCTATCAGTCTTCAACCCACAAAGGCAACCCTTGATGAGGCAAGATATTGTAAAACATCGGAACATGTTTGCAAGTATAGGGTTCCCAGGGGTGACATTTCACGGCGTCATTGGGGACACCTTCTAGCCATGGTTGGGATTTAGATAGTGAAGATCATTGTTCGGTGATGCTGTCGTGCCGTAGAGTCTCCGGCCAGATGGTGACATGTGGCACCAATTGGGCCTAAAAACACAGCACCAACAACAGATTTTGCGCCAGAACATGATGGAGGTCGCTGAAATCTGCAACCATCCATCAGCTATTCATCGCAGCACATTCCACGCCACGATCCGATCAGGCCTTATGTCCGTCCGGCAATGGTTCGTCTTCACAGTGCTTAGGGCTGTGCCGGCTGTGCTGCTGGCAGTCGTCTTAACGGCCTGCGCCATCATCTGTTACAGACTGGCCCTGCACCCCCTCGCCCGAGTGCCAGGGCCCAAGCTCGCCGCGATTTCCAATGTGTGGTATGCGCTTCACGTCCGTGATGGGCGCATGTTCGCCTTAGGCAAGACGTTGCACAAGAAGTACGGCCCTGTTGTTCGCGTGGGGCCGAACGAGGTGTGGTTCGACAGCAAAGATGCGTTCAAGAGCATCTATCGTGAGTCGTAGGAATCTTCAAGACCCTGTAGCGCCCACGGCTCACTTTTTACAAGGGGCCGGCAGTGGCTATGAGAAGTCCGAGTTCTACTGTGAGGCATTCATTGGCATTGACTGAGGCGTCGCCGACCTTCGCACCTGGCACCTGAGGCTGACTGCGTGCAGTGGCTACTCTGCTGCAAAAGCCGACGATGGACTGGATGGGCAGATTGCACTTCCCTGACTCGCTGGACCTCTTGTCTGAGCGAGACATATCACGATATCGCCTGCAGAGGCGTCTCATTGGTCCCATTTACCAAACGGCATCTCTCAAGCGACATGAGCCTGCTATTGACGCCGTGCTTGGGAAGGTCGTCACACAGATCCGTGATCTCGACGGAGCCGAAGTTGATTTGAAGGAGTGGATGCACATCATTGCTGTCGAATGTCTAGGCGCCATTGTGCTGGGCTGGTCTCCGGGCTATTTGAAGGACAAGACAGACTGGGGCTCTAGCAGCCATGGCTACTTGGGTTGGAGACGGAAGAGCGTCTTTGGACTCTTTCCGATGATTGTCAAGGCTGAGATCATCTCGGGAGAGATCAGCTACGCGTTTGCTCGACTCTGGGGGCTTACCCACAAGGCTGCCAAGACCTTGAAGCCCTTCTTCACGGTATAGTACCTAATCCGAAAGCATACGCCGTCAGCATCGCCTGACTGCTCGTAGGGTGTTTACCGTCAGTCGTCGCGACGCATCACCGCCGAGCTCGCCCCGAAGGCCGTCAAACCTTCCAAACTCGGCAAGACCAAAAGACCGTCTGCTGATGACCGTCATGACCTCCTCAACGACTTGATCCAGCTTCACAAGGAGAAGCCCGAATTTAACGAGACATATCTGCGGCGGATGGCCGTGACCAACTTTGGCGCCGGTCATGAGACCATGTGCTCCGCTCTGACTTCCATCGTGGCCATGATCGGGTCGAACCCGTCTGTACAGGCCAAGGTCGCAGCCGAGGTGCGATCAGCCGAGGATCCCTCAAATTTTGATCACGCCACGCGTTTGCTGTACATGCAGGCAACGATCAAGGAAGCCCAGCGCCTGCATCCGGTCCTCGGTATGTCTCTTTCACGGACTGTTCCGGCCGAAGGCCTGCAGGCACATGGCCACCATTTCCCCGCCGGTACCACCGTCGGCTGTAATCCGGTATCCCTTCACAGAAACAAAGAAATCTTTGGCGTCGATGCCGAGTCGTTCAACCCAAGTCGATGGCTTGACACGGACGATGTTCGGACCATGGATCGGTACAATTTGACTTGGGGTGGAGGGAACAGGACGTGTCCGGGACGGCACCTGGCGTATCTCGTTGTCTATAAGGTCATTCCAGCCTTGCTGGGTGAGTTTGATATTGAGGTCACAATGCCGCCGGAGGAGGAGATTCGATATTACTTTATGGCCATGTTGACGGGCGTCAAAGTGCGCTTCCGACCCAAGGCGGGTCTCGACGAGGCACAGGTGACGACGGGCGCCCCGATGTGAGCTGAGCCATGGCAATGCAGTTTCAATGCAATGAATGAGACATTCTTCACATGATTACATTACTGCTGTAGTGGCCCATACTTGGCGCTGTTGGCGCTGTTGAAGCAACAAGTACCTCGTAATGAGTGTCCCCGAAATATCGCAATCAGCAGACAGAAGAACACAGCGTCAAAAGAACTTCCTATCGATAACCTTTTGCCCTGCTGGGGACTGTGTTGGTTCTTGCTTTGAGAGGCAGGCAGCAATCTACAATCGTTGATGACACTGACCTCAAAGCGTTCTTGCCTTGTTACTCAATCTCGAACCACTACGATCTGCACCGAAAACACCAACACGACATCTCTACACTGCTGCCGCCCAACACCTGCACATGGTCTGCGAGGCTCAAAGTTGGTTTGTCATTCGGAAAAGAAATAAGCTCTGAACCGTGTCAAGGTATAACGATGAAGGCCTCGAACCCCCTTTGGCTTGTCGGCCTCCTAGCTCTTGACCTATGGGTCCTGCTCACGAGCGCCGGCGGCGTCAGTCGGGATCTTGTCCATCGGCAGCTATACTCCGAGGGTGGCGAGTATCGCGGTCCAAAAGATGAGGCCGGCATCGGGCGAGGCGACCGCTTCAATGACGGCCAAGACATCCCCTACGGCGCAGGGGTTAAAGGTCGCAGCGAGAATGCCTCCTTCTACAATTTCAAGACGATCCTCGGCCACAAGGAGATCGAATCTGCCATGAAAGCCCTGAAGAACGAATACGGTATCATGCTCGCCCATCCGCCCGAGAACTCGTTCGAGGACCGCGAAACCACCATCGGCATGCTTCCCTGTGATGGCACCCCCCTCGGCATCACCGGCAACAGTTGCGGCATGCCCTCAACCTACAGCGCCTACTTGACCGGCTCTATCCACGGTCGCGAGCGTGGCACCTCGGACGCCATCATCTACTTCCTTTCCGATCTCTTGTACGCTCGCAAGCACGGCACGGGTCTCGACTACGGCAATAACGTCAAATTCACCAATGCCGAAGTCCATCGTGCTCTTTCCGTCGGCATCGTGTTTTACCCCATGGTGAACGTTGACGGCCTCATGTGGGACCAGGACATGGACGACTGCTGGCGTCGCAACCGCAACACCGACAGCGCAGATGGTGAGGGAGAGAACAAGCAGGTTCCAAACGGGCTGCGGAACACGACGGTCGGCGTTGATATCAATCGCAACTTTGACTTTGCCTTTGACTACTTCCGCATCCTCAACTCGACCTTTGGCTATCTCGGTAATTCAGCGTCCCCCAGCAGCGAATTCTTCCAGGGGAAACACGCCTTTTCAGAGAGCGAGAGCCGCAACGCGGCCTGGGTCTTTGAGGCGTTCCCCAATGTCAGCTGGTTCATGGACGTTCGTACATTTGGTCGGCACATCTTCCATCCCTGGGGCCTCGATCTGAACCAGGTGAGCAAGCCGGAGCAGAACTGGCAGAATGAGGAGTTTGACGGCAAACGCGGCGACACGTGGGACAGCGAGTACGGCGAGTACATGGATCGTGCCGACAACGACCTACACAGCTCGGTTGCTGAGAGCATCGCTGATGCCATGGATGGCGTATCCGACATGACGCACACCTTTGGAGAGTCGGCCTATCTGTATCCGCAGACAGGCGGGATCATGGACTGGGCTTATGCGCGTCACATCCTCGATAGCAGCAAGACCAAGGTCATGAGCTTCACCATGGAGATGGGCGATGTGGAGAGCGAGGCTATGGACAACCTCGGCGAGATCTGTCCATTTTATCCGACTGTCGGAGCTTTCAACATTGCTCTCCGCGAGGCAGCTGTTGGATTGATGACGTTCCTACTCGCGGTCGCGGAGAATACTCGTTAAGAGAGTAGAGGTGTTGATCAGTGTGGACGATAGCAATGGTTATGGGTGGTCAGACAATGCGTCCGGATTGTCAAACATGTGTTGTAATCTACAAAGGATCAAGCGACCGTGGTAATTGAAGATCACGTTGATCGAGTGTCTCCTGGCTTTACCCAAGATCCAACATTGTGCTTATGTCATCACCGGCCGGCAGCCGGACATTTGTGACTCCGAGCCTCGCGGCTGCTACCCCACATTGTGACATCCCACCTTTGTGCTACACCTCCGTCCAAATTGCCACGACCCTGTCGCCCTGTTGCCCATCCGCCTTTCGCGACCGCATGCTTAGGATCATCGCAAGCCCCCTCCAAGCGGCCACGACCCCTACGATCCAGCCGGCTTGACAGCCGCAACCGACCCGACAAGATGGTTCTTCAAGATCTCGGACGCCGTATCAACACGGCCGTTTCGGACCTGACGAGGGCGCCGAACCTCGACGAAAAGGTACGCCTTCATCTGCACCATCATCCTTGCGACAGCCAGATCAATTTCAAAAGACCATATATAACAGGTGGCGTACGGCCAATGCTAACGAGGTATCCTAACAGGCCTTCGACGGCATGCTGAAAGAGATCTGCGCCGCCCTCCTCGAAGCCGACGTCAACGTGCGCCTCGTGGGCCAACTCCGCAAATCCATAAAATCGACCGTCAACTTCAAAGACCTGCCGCCCGCCGTCAACAAGAAGCGCCTCATCCAAAAGACCGTCTTTGACGAGCTCGTCAAGCTCGTCGATCCCCATGCCGAACCGTTCAAGCCCAAGAAGGGCAAGGCCAACGTCATCATGTTCGTCGGTCTGCAGGGTGCCGGAAAGACGACAACGTGCACAAAGCTCGCCCGACACTACCAGGCCCGCGGCCTCAAAGCCTGTCTCGTGTGCGCCGACACGTTCCGAGCCGGCGCCTTCGACCAGCTGAAGCAGAACGCCACCAAGGCCAAGATTCCCTACTACGGCTCCCTCACCGAGACGGACCCGGCCGTCGTCGCCCGCGAGGGTGTCGACAAGTTCAAGAAGGAGCGCTTCGAGGTCATCATTGTCGACACGTCCGGCCGCCACAGGCAGGAGGAGAACCTATTCCAGGAGATGGTGGACATTCAGGCGGCGATCAAGCCCGACGAGACCATCATGGTGCTCGACGCCTCCATCGGCCAGCAGGCCGAGTCGCAGGCCAAGGCGTTCAAGGAGGCGGCCGACTTTGGCGCCATCATCATCACCAAGACGGACGGTCACGCCCACGGCGGTGGTGCCATCTCGGCCGTCGCCGCGACGCACACGCCCATCGTCTTCATCGGCACGGGCGAGCACATGCTCGACTTTGAGCGCTTCGCCCCGCAGCAGTTTGTCCAGAAGCTGCTCGGCATGGGCGACATGGCCTCGCTCGTCGAGCACGTGCAGTCGCTCAAGCTCGACCAGAAGGACACGATGAAGCACATCACCGAGGGCATCTTCACCGTCCGCGACCTGCGCGACCAGCTGTCCAACATTATGAAGATGGGCCCGCTGTCCAAGATGGCCGGCATGATTCCCGGTATGAGCGGCATGATGCAGGGCATGGACGACGAGGAGGGCTCCCTCAAGCTGAAGCGCATGATCTACATCTGCGACTCCATGACGGACAAGGAGCTCGACTCGGACGGCAAAATGTTCACCGAGCAGCCGACGCGCATGACGCGCGTCGCCCGCGGCTCTGGCACCTCGGTCCGCGAGGTTGAGGACCTCCTCACGCAGCAGCGCATGATGGCCGGCATGGCCAAGAAGATGGGCGGCAACATGAAGAACATGCAGCGCGCGCAGCAGGCCATGGGCGGCGGCAACAAGGCCCAGCAGCTCGCCGCCATGCAGAAGCGCATGCAGAGCATGGGCGGCGGCGGCGGCGGTGGCATGCCCGGCATGGGTGGCATGCCCGACATGGGCAGCCTCATGAAGATGCTTGGCGGCGGCGGCGGCATGCCCGGTGGTGGCGGCATGCCTGACATGCAAGCCATGATGAAGCAGATGGGCATGGGGGGCGGCATGCCGGGGATGCCTGGTGCTGGACGGGGAAGGAGGTAGACCTTGCTTCATATGAAAGGGGAGGGCATGATAGGAGGGTCGGTTGGGTGGACGGACAAACTACGATGATTCTGATTCCCAGTCACGAGCTGGCAGCACAATAGGGAGGGGGCGTTTGGTCTTGCATAGGAATCGATTTCCATGAACCAATGAATGCAGCAGTGACACTACGAATCGCATGGGGTGTGATGTATCAAAACGTCTCCATTATTCAAGCAGGATTATTCGAGCTGGTGGCTCTCCAAGGCCTCCAGGCCGACACAAACTTGGTCAGTAATGCAAGTAAGAAAAACATATCCGCCGAATCTCAGCGTTCAACAGGTACATCTCCAACATTTCCTGGCTCTCGAACTCACTTGGGAGTTCATATGGCCTTTTCCACTCCACACAACACTAGGGTATCTTCTTTCTCTCTCTCTCTCTCTCTCTCTCTCTGTGTGTGTGTGTATGTGTGTGTCTCTAGAACGATCACACTATCATTAAAACTCGTCAAACCTTCTGCTCGGCCGTGGCTCCATCATGCTGGGTAGAGCCAGAGACGTCGCTCGTGGCCCTTCGCGGCCCGGATCGAGACTGAGACCGCGACCTGCGTCCCTGGGTGTTTGACCGCGAGAAGCTCGCCCACTCCTTGAAGCTGCTCATTGTCATGGTGCGGCGCATACCCGTACCGGTGCTCTCCTCGCCCTGGTTGAACGAGCCGCGTACGACGGCGCCGCTCTCGAGCAGGCCAAACGTCCGCTTGACAAATTTCCACGCCTCAATGCCAAAGACGAAGAGAATAGTAAAGGCAACGGCGACGCCCCACTCCCACGTGATGCCCGTGTGCTTGAACAAGTTGTGGTTGACGTAGGGGATGTAGACGACGGGGAAGACGGAGATGCCGCCGATGATGACGGCCCAGAAGAGGAACCTGTTGCTCCAGAGATCCTTGAACAGGGGGAAGCGGCTCTCGTCGTCGGGGTTGAGGCGGAACATAGAACGACGCAGGCTCTTGAACTCCCAGGCAGAAAGAAGAATCATCCAGGTCAGCTCGGCAAAGACACATGCGCGGGCGCGGAAGACAGGGATGCACTCGTCGGAGAAGGACTTGTTGCACTCGGAGCCGAGGTTGCCATCGTTGGCGCCCCAGATAACAATGCAGAAGCTGACCATGGTGAGAGCGCCCATGATGACGCCGTAGACTAGCATGTCGATCATGATTTGGTTGGTGAAGACGCCGCGCTTCTTGTCGTGAGGGGGTCGGCGCATGACGTCCGGGGCGGCAGCCTCACGGCCGAGACCGAAGGCTGGGAACGACGAGGTGACCATGTTGATCCAAAGAATCTCGAGAGGCGAAACGGGGAAAACAGCAAGGTTCTGGGCGTCGCGGAAACCAAGTCCGGCAACAAGCAGAATGACTTCACCGACGTTGGACGTCAGCAGGTGGAGGATGAACTTCTGGATATTGTCGAACATGCGACGTCCCTGACGGATGGCGGACACAATGGAATTGAACTTGTCATCGGTCAGGACAATCTTGGACGCGCCCTTGGCCACGTCGGATCCAGACCCCATGGCGATACCGACATCGGCGCTTGACAGCGAGGGCGCGTCGTTGACACCGTCACCGGTCATCGCCATGAAGGCGTTGCGGCGACGAAGGGCATGGATCATCCTAGTCTTGGTCTCGGGGGCGCATCGTGCAATAACCAGAGGAAGCTCCTCAAGAGCGTCCTGCTCCTGGTCGGTCATTCGATCAAAGTCGGTGGCTTTCATGACAGCGTGACGTGCGACGTTTTCGGGCAAAATACCCATGTTCTTGGGAATGATGCCGACTTCCTTTGCAATAGCCTTGGCAGTCTCGGGATGGTCGCCAGTCAGCATGTGGACGCGGATACCAGCGGTCGAGCACTCAGAAATGGAGTCCTTGGTCTCGCGACGGGGCGGGTCGTAGATACCAGCCAGGCCGAGAAGCGTCAGGTCATCTTCAATCTCGTTCCTCATGGCCTCCTCGGCACCCGCCTCAGCTTTGCCATGGATGTGAGGCATTTCAAACTTGCCGTCCCACTCCTTGTAGCCGATTGCAAGCACACGCTGGCCCTGCGAGGCGAGATGGTTCATTTGGCCAAGAACCTCTTCTTTCAGCTCATCAGTCATGACTTGCTTGGAATCGCCGTAACCGATGTGGCTGCAGAGGTCGAGGACACGCTCAACAGCGCCCTTGGTGAAGACGAGGCTGTTGTCTGTGGACAGGAGCTGGGGCGATCCGTCTTGCGGGGCATCAAAGACCACGGACATGCGCTTGATAGAGCTGTCAAAGGGAAATTCGCCGAGTTGCTTCCAGCCCCCGGCCTCAAGACCCTTCTTGCCGAGCTTGAATCGGTGGGCGAAAACTTGAAGAGCAATCTCAGTTGGCTCGCCAGTGGTCTGCCACTTCTTCTCATCTTCGTCGAAACGGACAGTGGCCAGGTTGCAGAGAGCGGAAGAAAGGAGGAACGCCTCGAGAGCATCATTCATTTCAGCCGGCACCTCGGGCTCCTTGGGCTTGGAAGGCTTCTCTCGGGTCTCGGGAACATCAAAGGTGAGAGCACCAGCGGACCTCTCTTGGTCGTAGTCCTTGCGAGGTTGAGCCTCCTCTTCTTTGCGAGACGCGGTATACGTGACACGACCGACAGTGGGATCGTTGGGGTTCTGCGAGTCGTGTACGGTGTAGGTGTGCGAGGTAGGGAGCCAGGCCTTGCGGACAATCATGGCGCCCTGAGTCAAAGTGCCAGTCTTGTCGGAACAAATGTTGGTCACGCCGCCGAGAGCTTCCAGGGCAGAGAGGTCGCGGACGACGACGTTGGCCTTGCGCATGACAGTGACTGCAACGACCATGGTGATGGTGAGAACCCTAGTAAATGTCAGTTTGGCATGTTTCCAGACCGAGTAGAGGAAGGGGGGGGGAGTCCTTACGCTACGAGTGACTCCGGGATGATGGCAATGCCGAGTGACACGGCATAAATGATGACCTCGCCGGACAGATCAAATTTGTGGGCGCCAAAGACGATCATGGCGAGAATGATGGCACAGCCGAAAAGGAAGTAGGCCAACACTGCAAGCTTCCGCTGGAGAGGGGTTCCCTCGGTCAACCCAAGGAACTTGCCCACAGCATCATAGGTGCGCTTGGAGCCGCCGACAAAAGGGGCTTTGGCGCCATACTTCTTCGCATTCATCGAGCGGCCGGGCTTGCGCTTCTTCTTGGTGGTCGAGGCGGCAATTTCACCGACGGCAGTCTTCATACCAGTGAAGACAGCAATACCGCGGCCGCGGCCCTTCTTCACAATGGTGGTAGCATAGGCCATGTTGATGCGGTCTCCGACCACGAGGTCCTGAGGGCTGGTGGCCACCGTGTCGGTGCCGGGAATGACGAGGTCGGCATCGATGCTCTTGTCGACTGGGAGAGATTCTCCCGTGAGAGACTGCTCGTCACACGACAAGTTCATGGCTTCGTAGATGCGGAGATCGGCGGGGATGGTGTCGCCCATCTTGAGAAGGATGATATCGCCGGGCACGACGTCGGGGCTGGAGTGTGCTGTCAGTCAGCCGTTGGAGAGCCAGCGGCAAGTGGCTACTTACTTGGAGATGACCTGGGTCTTGCCGTCGCGCAAAACCATGGCCGAGGGAGAAGAGAGGGCTCGGAGGGCATCCATGCGCTGTTCGGCACGGTACTCTTGATAGAAGCCAATTGTGACATTGGCGAAGATGACAAAGGCAAGGACACCGCCCTCAATGTAGTCATTGATGGCGAAGGAGAGGATCATGGCGAAGACGAGAACCTAAAAAATGTTAGCGGTTGAGGCTGGAGCGCGGGTTCAGAGCGGCAACATACGAGGACCATGGCGTTGAATAGCTGTTTGCTAAGGATGGTGTACCAAGGAATCGCCTTGGCCACCTCAAATTCGTTCTTGGGATACTTCTGCTGCGCCTCGGCGACCTGCTGGCTGGTGAGGCCCTTGTCGAGGTCGGTGCCGAGGGCACGAGCAGCCTCCTCTGCTGTCAGCAGGAAGGGGTGCTTGGAATAATCAGCCGACATGTTGGCGAATGATTGTTGATGGCCTGGTCCGAAGCCTGTCCATTCACGAAGAGACCAGAGGTCAGGGATGTTGGACTAGAAAGAGGGTTCGTTTCAGGGGTTGGTAATGGTGGTTGAGGTCTGAGTGGGCGTGATGGTGGCCTGTAGGGTATCTGGGTTGGTGTAGATGTTGAGGCGGTTTAGCTCGAGGAGCTGTTGTTGAACCTGATGGAAGACGGGTAGGTACCCGGAAGATGGAGGATGGTACTTCGTAAAAGGTATCTCGTCACTGGGTTTGGACGAGAAAGATGGAGATCCGAAGTCAAAAAGCCATGGTGAAGTGGGAAACGTGACTTCTTTATACTTCGGAAGGAGGTCCCTTTGATTTTGGCTTCGCAAGAAGGCGTGAACCACATGGCCGGGTGAACCCCCCTAGGTACAGGGGGGCGTATCTGCCGTTTGCCTTCGAGCGAACCCACCCCGGACGCCGGACTGCGTGAGGACAAGAGACGCCGAGGCATGGCATCGCTCGTAGCGCCACTCGTAAGACAGCCAAGACAATCTGAGAGGACATCCATCAAGTCGAAAGAAACAGTCGAGGAAACAGGCTGGTTCTGCCAAGATAGACCTCACGCCGCTTGGCGACGTCTGTGCTTCCACCACCCATGAGCCTCCGCCCACCGGTTTAGTGGCATCATGGTGTGCAAAACCCGGAGAAGTGGAGCCTCGTGGTGTGATGGGTAAAGGGGTGTCAAATCAGCCTATTGGTCAATTGCCCACTTCGGATGGTTGCGGTCTTCTCTTGGCGTGACGCCAGACTTGCCAAGACGTGATGTCTTTGGCGAGCACGACTCAACGGGCTCCGAGGTGTGTTCCGCTGTCTGTTTTGCATGGCCTGCATAATTTCGGTCAGGCTGGAGGCAGATCGGCGAACATACGAGACTCTCATGGGCATCATTGTGTTTGGGATGTCGTGAATGCGCACGATGTCGACATGCTTCAGTTGACACCCGGAGGTCTATAGCTTCGGAAGAGAAGGGGTGAGGGGGGTTCTATTACAGTGGACCCCACGGCGCCGTGCCTTCCTGAACATGTTCCGACTCGGCCACCAACCTCAACAAGATCACGCCTTGCCGCATCCGTACAGCCTCCCCATTGGCCACATTCGTCGGCTTAGGCCCTGCACCCAGTTCGGTGAGCCCGTGATAAGCCTCCAACATGCGTACTGCTGTGAGTCACGTGGCACCGCATCTGACCAGACCGGACCCTTCTGGTCATGGTCGGGGTGGAATGGTGTTGCTTGGCATACTTGGCACGTTTTTGCGTTTTTGCACCATGCCCCTGGTGTTCAGCTTTGCCCCCAACACGCATCCGTTGTGTGTGTGTGTATGTGTTGTGTTGCATAACGGGCCTCAATTCCTCATCATTTCAGTCCAATATGAAACACGGCCTGTGACGTTCGAGTACCGCGCAGGTAAACCGTGCATCCAATGTGCATTGCCTCCGGAGTTCCGAGTTCGCCTCGTCTCGCGTCTCACGGCCCATGAATGCCGCCCCGGGTCTCGTGACTCGCACCGTCACGGCACCGGAGTGGCGGAGTGGCGACACCCGCTCCAGCCTCACCGAGCACAGCCACCAGTCCGCTTCTCATCTTGCCATGACGAACGCCGAACCCCCGACATCGGCCCCGTCCGGCACAGGCACATCGTGTACGGGGCAAGTCGTTCGTAGGCACATGATACGACTCGATCTGACCACGAAAGCAGCATGGGTTGCAACTCCGCCATGGTCATTGCCAGACGGCCAATCGCTTGCATCCTTCCATGCTTTTCCCACGCCTGTGGCAATGGCAACACCACGCACCATGCGTTGCATCAGCATCTCCCCCGCAGCACCTTGGCTGCTTGGCGGGGATGCCAAGCAGCCAAGCTGAAACCTCGTTGAAATCGAGGCAAGTTTTCGGAATATCGTGAGCATCTTCAAGACGCCCAACTTCGGCCGGCATGGGGAATGATGACGGCTCGAGACCTACCGACCCCCACGCCACATGCCGTCTCTGCGTCGTCGCTGTGCAGTCTTCCCAACAATCACAGTCCATCGCTGTTCCAATTCGTCCCCAGGAAACATCATGCAGGAGCATCCCCGCCATGCCCAGCCATCCAGACCCCAATCGCCAGGCGAAATATTCCGCTCCTCTCCGCCATGCGCATTCTGAGTACCGAAAGCCAAGTCCTCTAGCGGCAACATCGTTGCCCCCGCTTCACCGCTTTGTGCGAGGGATTGACTCGACGATCGTCGCCGGTCGACTTGGCATATTGCACGAGGTTGCGCGCAGGGAGCCTCTCGGGCCGCGCCTAGAAGGTGGTCTGACGGGCAGCGGTCTTGGATCAATGTTCCTAAGCCCCGTGCTCATGGTAATCATTTGATTGCCTAGAGACATTGTTTCATGGATCACCCAACCTCAGTTTTGGTCTGTCGGACAAGGTGTGGTCGAGGCTTACTTGGCTTATTTGAGGATGGCACAGGGGGGGAACACTCCCTGCTGCAGCCCGGCAACATTAGATACAGCATCAAAGGGACAACGTGCATCTACGACCAATACATGACCAATGAGATTCAACAGCCACTGGTCACGCTGCCGTTTTTGCTTCTGTTGTGCAGGCAGCTGGACCATCATCAGTTATAGGAAAGCCCAACCCCATGATTCCTTCGAAGCCCGATACGCGACTTCAAGGGTCTTGCTCGAGTCTTTCCCATTGATCAAATCATTTGGGAGTCATTCTTTCCCCGATATCGTGCCTAAGTCCGCAAGAGGGTTCAGAAGCCGAGTCGTGAAGGCCTATTCCTTGAGAGACATCACTTCCTATCAGTCATTGCGACTGTTCTGATGAGGCATTCGCCAAACCTTGGAATACTTTGGATGCTTTCTTATCCTCGTTCTCGAAGGATTAATCTTCATAAATAAAGGCTCATATGCGCGTCGGGTTCCTCTTCTCAGTCACACATTCTCGACAACAGCCACGACCTTTGCATCCCAACAGATCAATCAGGCATCTGTTTCTCTAGACTAAATCGTACAGCCCCCGACTCTCAAATCTCATACCGATCGCTCTCGTGCTGAACAGGCCGGTAGGTAAAGTAATCAAACACGGCTTTCTCCGCAGTTCCGTTCAGGTCCGAGCACGCGACACCAACAAACGCACCGGTGAAGCTGCCGTGCGCCTGGTGCCCGCCACACTCATCCGACACGATCGAGGCATCGAGGACGGGTCCAATGGCCTCGAGCTCCTGGCCCTCCAGCGCGTAGAAAAACTGCAGCGCCGGCCCGCGGATCGTCAGCGCCAGCTTGACCTTGCCCTCGTTGGGGATCTGCACGGGCTCGATGAAGGGCGTGTTGAGGTTGCCGTCGGGGTAGGACGACTCGGAGCTCATGATGAGGAGCTCGCGCTGGCCATCTGAGTGCGCCGTGACGGTAAGGTAGAAAAAGTTGAAGCGGCAGTAGTACGCCGTGAGGCCGGCGAACTGGCGCTCGTCGGTCGGCTTGAAGTCGACGGTGGTCTCGGCGTCGTAGGAGAAGTTGGTTTGGCGCCGGGCTACGAGGGCCTGCTCGAACCAGGAACCAATAGTCTCGCGGCCGATCAGCGTGAGCTTTCCGTCGTCTGTCGAGAAGATGCGATCTGTTTCGGGGGTTCGGAGCCACTGGAGATCCTTGTGCAGGCCCTTCTCAAAGGTATACTTCTGCTCAGCCCAGTATGCCGTGTCGTCGCGGCTGCCGGGAACTTCGACGTGGAGGGACGGTACCGGACCATTCTTCACGTACAGCCATTCGTCGTCACCCCAATAAGCCTCTTGGATGTTCGTTTCACGGCCAAGAACACAGCGGCGGTTCTGTGTTGTAGGTCTTCCGCCGAGATGCACCAGGTACGTCTTTCCCTCGGGTGTCTCAACAATATCGCCGTGACCCGCGCGCTGAATAGCGGCGAAAGGTGCGTCTTTCGAGGTGAGAATATATTTCTGAGGGTGTGTCTCATAGGGACCCCAAATATCACGAGATCGTGCAAGAGTACATGCGTGCTCGTATGCGGTGCCGCCTTCAGCCGTTAATAGATAATACCAGCCGTTGCGCTTGTACAGGTGCGGCCCCTCGACGAGCTTGAGATCAGTGCCGGTGTAGATATTTTTCTTTGGGCCGACAAGCTTGCCGGCTGTGGGGTCAAACTCTTGAAGAGCGATACCGGCAAAGAGTAACGGCCGGCGTCGGTGATCCCAAAGCATGTTGACAAACCACTTCTTGCCGTCATCATCGTGAAACAGGGACGGATCGAATCCGGACGAGTTGGCGTGAACCGGATCAGACCAAGGTCCTTCGATTGAAGGTGCGCTGACGATATAGTTGTGAGCGTCCTTGAAAGATCCGTCCTTGCGCTTGACATCTGTGAACACGAGCCAGAACTTCTCGCCGTCGTGAGTGAGACAGGGAGCCCAAACGCCGCAGCTATCGGGGTCACCACGCATATCGAGCTGGCTTTTCCTGTTCAGCGGTCGAATAACCAGATCCCAATTGGCTAAATCCTTCGAACGGTGGATTTGAACACCTGGATACCACTCAAATGTGGATGTGGCAATATAGTAGTCATCGCCGACTCGAAGGATGGAGGGGTCGGGATTGAACCCTGGAAGAATGGGGTTGCGGACTGTCGGCATGGTGTTTTGGATGTGCAATGTCTTGACTTCAACCAATATGCAGAACTGAGTCGACACTGCTATGTGTTCCTGTCAGTCGTTGGCCTATCAGTCTTATGGACGAGTGTGACCGGCGGTCGTTCGGAGTAGTGATGCCTCGGAGCGGGTAAATTGAACATCTCTCCCCGCGAACCCCCACAAATATGGGCATTTAGCCGGCGCGATCACCGGCTCCAATCGCCCGGAGCTTGGCTTCCCCTCAGCATCTCAGCATCGCCCTGTAGCTGTTCACCTGAACACTTCAGGAGAGACGCCGTCAGGTCGAAGCTGCCTCGGATGACTCGAGCATCTCGGAGTATACGAGCTGTCCATAGATTCTATATGACCAGAGATTCTATATGGGCCAGATTTGGCCGACTTATCCCAGCGTGTTGACGTCATGTATGCGGCGGTCCAGACCGGCCGGAACACGTCCAAGCCCAGCACTGAATCCGATGGTGAACAAGAGGTGTTCACTTCCTTGGGGCATGGCTTATGGGGGCACTGGGAGATAAAATTTCCGCACAATTGGTCAATAGACAAGAAGGAAACTTGTAAGTGTCAAGTACTCAAAATACATGCACTGAGTGTTCATTATCTCAAGTCTGGTGAGGCACATAAAAGTTCAGTCTTGGGCGAAGAATCAGACGCTGACATGGTGCTGTCTGTGCCGCGCCTTACAGCGCTTTTGTGACCTCAATGTCCTACTTTCGAAATGCAAGAACTGCCTCTCAAAGGCCACCCACGAACTCCCAGCGAGGCTCTTTTGTAACCCCAACATTCGAGGCAGACAAGCACAAGTACCAGTTTTCACTTGATGCACCTCCAAACAATATTCCCCTGCAGATTTAAGGCTTGGTAGCGGATGGAGCTTTTTTGAGAATATAAGGTTCCCTGTTCGAGATTTCTGTATGTATATGATCCATTATTTCTTTTCTCTTCAACAATCCGACCTCGTACAATCCAATCAGCCGACGTAACTCGCAGTGCATCAAGAGAGACGATCTCACAAAGAAAGCTCATTTCTGAATATCGAACATGAAGGTATGATCGTTGGCATGTTTTCCGGGAAGTTGAGTTCGAGCTTGTCACTAACTGAACCCAGATGAACGGCCTTCGCACCCTTTCTGCTGTCGCTCTGATGGTCTCCTTCGTCCCCATGGTGCTTGCCGGCCCGGTTATTGCCTTTAATTCCCGGTTATGATCTCGACAAAAACGCTGCGGGCAAGAATAGATATCAGGCTACGGATCCTGCGGCCTTAGAACCGTCTGGCTTCAGCTGGTCTGGCCCAACACCCACAAGTACGTAGTCGACGTTCAAACAACCAAGGCACGGAGGCCCTAAATGTGCAACATCAGCACGCCAACTCATCTGACGTACATCAAGAGACTAGTTTCAGAAATGATGAATAAGTCGTGCACCTGATAAATCAGTGTATGAGGATGAATCATCCGTATAGTAATGCAGATGCCATTCGCATCGCGTGCCTAAGATTTTGTCAGATCTGTTGCATTTTAGATTTACACGGCATAGACAGAGGACACAAGTGATTACTCTTGAGCGGCCTAGTAGCAACCGCCTCACGAGCATGGACTTTCCAGACGTGTTGGCCGGCCTTAGTGGAGCAGCAACGACTTGTTGCAATTCGTTTTTTTTTATATGCATGTAAGATGGACCGCGTTGTCTCAATTGCCCTCGTAAAAATGACTACGATGGCAATCAACTTAGAACATCTACGAAATTGCCAAAAGGTACCCATTGTGGTGCTGCGATAGTCTCGAGACAAGACCGTTCCTCTTCAAGCCTTGTTGAAGTTAGTGTGGGTGCAGAAGACGTAAAAACGCCGTGGAGCTCAGCGCTAGAAATATGAAGAATATGCGAAGGCAACTGAAATTGTAAAGGCTGTTCTATGACATGTGCACTGGAGTTTTGTGCCACGAAAACGGAAGCGTATCGTGCTTTACGAACAGAGGTGGTTGTTTTGAAATAGTCGATTTGTCAGTACGAAACGGCAGCGCCGAGACAGGTACAAATGTATCACGACATCGTATGATGGGAGAAAATAGTACCTCGTGGTGTTAGTTTGACGCAGCTTGTTCAGCGGAAAAGACAATGAAGACACCATCAGCAGTGTAGATCCCAGTAGCAGCACCATAATTGGGTGCAGTAGCAATCCTCTGTGCGTCTCACTGCTTTAGGTGATAAATGACTCGTCGCGATAGTTAAAGCCGACAGAGAGATGACGAGCTTAATAATCCGACTTGAAGGGTCTGCATCATGTGACGTAATGACTCCAGAGACATCCATCAAAGCACGGGCTCTTCGGCGATTAGACAGACTTGGCCATCAGTTGTTCGAGCATCCGACCCCTAGATCCCACTCCCTCGTCGGAGATCAAGCAAAGATGCGACGCCAGGTTCCTCCCATGTGCTGGAGACCCATTGGATGATCAGCATGGAGCCTGTCGGCCCAGCAGAACTTTTTTTCCTGTTCCTGGGCAACCCTGATGCCATGCGTGCCGCTTCTTCGGCTGGCCCGACGTCATTCTCACGGGAGCAGCTTTAGTGCCTTCCACCAGCCTGTAGGTACGATCGAGAGTGAGATCAGATGGCGCCATCTATGATTGAATGCCGTCCCTAACGCGCGGCGGTGGGTCTTCTGCTCGCTTTTATTTCTAAGCTCATCGGTAGATGTCGCACCAAGCCCCATCTTCTTGAGGGGCTGTGGAAACCCGGAATCCGAATCCCGCAATGTCAAGAGTATTATCTGGAGAGTTCTGGAAATGGACCTACATCTGGGCATAGTATATAGAGCCGCCAGTCCTGAGATCTTTCTCGGATTTGTTCAAGATAGAATACCTCATCACTTACCACAACATTGGTAGACATCAACAGCAAACGTCTTTCCATCAATCCTGCCACCACATCCACCCTACACAACATGGCAGCCAACTCCAAGCTTTTCGAACCCCTCAAGGTCGGCAACATGACGCTGCCCCAGCGCATCGCCATGGCGCCGCTGACTCGTTACCGCAACGACGACGAGCACGCACCCATTACCGACCTCATGGCTCAGTACTACGGTGACAGGGCCTCCGCCCCAGGAACCCTCATTGTCACTGAGGCCACCGGCATCTCCCCCGCCGAGGAGGCCGACCCCAACCTTCCCGGCATCTCCAGCCCGGCGCAGGCTGCCGGCTGGAAGAAGATTTACGATGCCATCCACGCCAAGAACTCGTTCGTCTTCCAGCAGCTCTGGGGACTCGGTCGTGCCGGCAACCCGGGCTACATCCAGGAGCGTGGTTACAAGTACGCCTCGAGCAGCGACGTCCAGATGTCGGGCCGTCCCGTGCCACCCTCGCCTCTGACCGAGGAGGAGATCTGGCAGAAGATTGGCGAGTTCCGCGCCGCGGCGCGCAACGTGGTTGACGCCGGCGGTGACGGCATCGAGATCCATGGCGCACACGGCTATCTCGTCGACCAGTTCACGCGCGATAGCGCCAACAAGCGCACCGACAAGTGGGGCGGCTCGATCGAGAACCGCGCGCGCTTCCTGCTCGAGGTCATCAAGGCCGTATCGGAGGAGATTGGCGCCGCGCGCGTCGGCCTGCGCCTCAGCCCCTTCGCCACCTTCCAGGAGTCCTACTCGGCGGACACGTGGGAGCAGACGTCCTACGTCGTGCGCGAGATCAAGAAGGCCGGCCACAAGCTGGCGTACCTCTCGCTCGTCGAGCCCCGCGGCAACCCCGTCTTGCTCGGCATCGTGCCCCAGCAGCCCAGCGACAGCGTCCAGCCGTTCCAGGAGGATCGCCCGCACACGCTCGACTTCATTCTTGAGGAGTGGGACAACTTCTCCCCCGTCATGGTCGCCGGCGCCTACACTGGTGAGAGCGCCGTCGAGGCCCTCGAGAAGCACTACAAGAAGTGGGACGTGCTGATTGCCTTTGGCCGCCCCTTCATTTCGAACCCTGATCTCGTCTTCCGCATCAAGAACAGCATCCCGTTCGCGCCGTACAACCGTGAGACGTTCTACAAGAAGAAGAGCAACGACGGGTACAACGACTACCCCTTCAGCGAAGAGTACCGGAAGAGCGAGGCTGCGGTATCTGCTTGATTTTCAAAATGACGGAGCGATTGCATGGTATCGGCGTTACACACAGGATTGAGTGCATTTACATGTAGACATATACCGCTTGACAGAGAGCAAGAATTATGATTTTCCTACATAGCTATCATCTCGCTTCGTGGTTCATCAAGTGTGACACATGGCCAGAAGTGACCGCGCTTTCGTTTAGACGTCGCGATTGTCTTCAGTGCCTGCCGCTCGACTGTTTCCAAGACCGCCATCGACATCGACTCCAGATGTCCTTTGCTCTTTGATCGCCTCACGAGCACTGGCCTGTTCTTGCTTCTTCCTGCAGAGATGTCAGCCCGTGATGCCGCAACGAGAACGCGGTTAGTCCTTGGCGCACCTCTCAAGATCATCAGTAAAGCTCTGATCCGTCACAGTCTCTCCCTCAGCGAGCTGTGTACCGCTCTTTCTGGCTACAGCGTCGGCAACCTTGCCCTCGGCGAACGTCTCCAGCTGTTCGGCTTCGACATTGGGGTTTTCTGGGCCCTTGATCCCAGCGCCCGGTGCGGCGTACTCGGTGTTCCTTCTTTCGGTCTCGTCGACGGGGCCTGAGCCTTGGACCCCGTAACCGAGGGAAGAAGGAACGGCTTCGTCGATGGATGCCGCCTGGGCTCGAGGGACCGGGGCGCGGCCCTCTTGCATTGCGCGAACCTCATCTTCTGTAGGCATCGTGGCGGGTGGGCGGTATGGCGGTGTCAAGTGCGTCCGAGGTTCACTCCTGGCTTTGATCTCATGAGAAGTCCGATGACAAGGGATCGCAATGTGTTTGCAACATGCCAGAAGCCAGCTGTATTACCGGAGGTGAGGTTCCAGATCGATGACGTCGCTGTGGGATGGCCATGGATCGGCGCTTGTTCGCGCCCACAAATTGCAGGAATGACGCTGGGCTCCCAAAGGTCAGTCAGGTAGTACCGCCATAGGAAGCCAATAACCGTCAATCGGGTCCTGTCCAAGGCTTCGTCTTCCCCTGATCGTGGTCATTCAAGTCGAGCCGGGAAGTACTCGGTCGTCTCGGTGAGTACCGGTTTTCGGTCAACGCTGGCTTCACCGAGATATCCACCATGATCCACTGTCAACCAATCATAATATTCAAAGAAAATCCGCTTGGGTGTCCTGGTTCGTGACTACGAGGAAAACCACTGAGGTCAACGTCGTCAACGTCTGCTTCCCTGTGCACTTCACAAACCACAACGGCTGCGAGTGTGCTTGGGGCTCGAAACGCCGGTGTGTGATGAGCTGGCACCCGTTCGGAGGACCGTCGCGGTCCGGGGACGAGTGGTTCTCTGTCGGTCTGGCCTCTGACTTTCCCGACCTGGGCTTTGATGAGGATAGCCTCTTGGATAACCGCTTCTGTGGCCCGGACCTGAAGCCCGGGTGCAAGGTGTTTCATGCACCAAGAGAACCTGGGTCCACAAGGACCGAGATAGCGATCGCAGAGGACGACGGTCCGCCCGAAGACGAGGATCTCAAGGACCAAGTGCTCGTGTTCCAGCACAGGGGCAAGTTCCACGCCATCGATCATGTGAGCCCCTTCTCAGGCACATCAGTCAAGACGAGACCACTCGCTCATATCCACAGCGCTGCCCTCATTCCTCCTACCCGCTATCTCGTGGTACACCGTTCGACATTGAGGACTTTGGAGTCATGCTCAGCGCCGGCATAACCTGTCCAAAGCACGCCTGGTCGTTTGACCTCCACACAGGCATGTCAGATCGCGCTCGGTACAAGCTCGGCGTATGGGAGACCCAGGTCCGAGATGTGAAGCGCCACGGACTCCTCGGATTGAGCACAGCTAAGAGTGATGCTGTTTCCGAGCAGCCAGAGAAAGAGGTGTGGGTGAGGAGGAAGCAGAGGATGGGCTGACGAGACGAGTTATGTCCATCCGTTGCTAAAAGAATTGCCATCTCATGCCGAAGCACGCCTATCAACTCTCATCTCCTACTTGGCGTTCGTGGAGAGGCGCGTATTGCATCTCCGACGTGAGGGTGGCCACTCGAGCGACTGGTAAACGGCTCAAGATAACAAACGGCCCCGCCCTATCTTCGGCGGACCCCGAAATCTCCCCGCATCGAGACTCCAACCAGACGTCTCATACCTCTTGAACCAGATACTATTCATATATCCGCAAGACATACGCATGCTTCCCCGGGGAAAAAAAAAAGAAATTGATATTATCAACAAGATCCTACCATAGTCCCTTCATTGACCATGACCGAAACGCTCACAGCCAACAAGCCGGCAACGACCCTCCTCCGGCTGGCCTCCGGCAACGGCCCCGTCACACGTACCGTCCTGACAACCCCCCTTCGCGATGCCCTCCCCTCTGAGATACCCATCATCGACATATCCGGAGCCTTCAGCGACGCCCTCGCCGACCGCGAAGTCGTGGCGCAGCAGATCCGCGCCGCCGCCACGACCTCGGGCTTCTTCTACATCGCCAACCACAACATCCCCGCCTCGGTGACCGACTCGGCCAAGGCCGCCTGCCTCGCCTTTTTCCGCCAGCCGCTCGAGGCCAAGATGCAAGCCCACGTCGGCCAGTCGCGCTACTTCAACGGCTACAAGCCGCCGGGCTCGCAGCGCATCAACAAGTCCGAGTCGGTCGACGCCCGCGAGACCTTCAGCTGGACCTACGACCCGCGCTTCGACCCCGCGGCCCCGCCCGTCGAGGCCATCCCGCCCGTGGCCCGCCGCTTCCTGCGCATGGAGGACTTCCACTGGGACGCCGTGCGCGCCGCCTCGCCCGGGTTCCAGGACGCCGTCGTGCGCTACTGGCGCGCCTGCCTCGCGCTGGCCCGCGTGCTCGTGCGGTGCTTTGCCCTGTCGCTCGCGCTGCCCGAGGACTACTTTGACGCCAAGTTCGCCTTTCCCGATGCCGCGCTCGCGCTGAACTACTACCCGTCCCTGCCCGAGTCGGCGGCGCAGGGGCCCTCGGCCTCCGCGAACGGGGGCGACGTCCCGGCCGAGGTCTCGATCGGCTCGCACACGGATTTTCAGCTGTTCACCATGCTGTGGCAGGATGACGTCGGCGGGCTGCAGGTGCTCAACCGCGACGGGCAGTGGATCCGCGCGTCGCCGGTGCCGGGCACCTTTGTCGTCAACATTGCCGACTACCTGCAGCGCATCACCAATGACCTGTACGTGAGCACGGTCCATCGGGCTGTGAACCGCAGCGGCAGGGAGAGGATCAGCATGCCCTTCTTTTTCGGCTTCGGGCTGCATGAGAGTTGTGCTGTCATCAAGAGCTGTCTGAAGGACGGGGAGGTGCCGAGATATGAGGAGATTGGATGTGACGCGTGGGTGAAGAAGAGGGCCCAGGCCATGCACAAGACGGATTCAGATGACGAAGAGGCAAACTGAGGCCAGAGCGGCATGTGGTAACAAAGATGTAAACACCAATCAGCGAACGACCGAGATACATCAAGTTGCAGCTGAAGACCTTGTGAACAGTGATCGCAATGATACAGATATCTTGCATAGCTAATTCGAAACAGGAACCAAGGTAATTTGAATCTAATCACGCCGTCCCGGTTGTGCCCATTATCATACAACAAACAACAAGGCCAGGCAGCGCCGCTCCACCAATTCAACACCCCCTTGAAATATTGTGACCGCAACGCCAAGACAAACTCCCATACCACTCACTCCTGTAACATTAATTTCATCTCTCTTGACAGCCGCCCTACTCGCCGTCTAGCAGCGCGTCCATCCCGTTGCGCTCATTTTCAAAACTCTCCGCTGTCGGTACAAACCCGTCGAATGGTTCCCTGCCCTTGCGCCCGTCATCGTCGTGGTTCGTCAGGTCTTCGAACATTTTATCCACAGCGCGCTCGTCTTGAGGTCCTCCTGTTGCACCCGTGGCTGGACTCTGTCGAAGGCCCTTGTTCTCGTTCCAAACGCCTGGGCCGTACATTTCCTCGGCCCTCTTGCGCCCGACATCCGTCCTGCCTAGGATCTCGAGAGCCTTACTCCTCTGGCCCGGATCAAGCAGGTTGAGGCCGTCCTCCTGGCCGTTGTTGAGTCGATCCTCCAACGACATGGATGAGTTGTCGTGGACCAGCTGTGGACCTCCGTTTCCGTTGGGCATGAAGAGGCCTGGGTGCAGCGTTGGTCCGCTATCGATATCCATGGCATCGTCCTTGCTTGTTGTCGAATGCCGGCTGCCTCCGACGCGTTCGCCATTGGAAATGCTCGGTGGTGTGGCGGACGATTGGTGTGATTTATGGCCAAACATTGGATGCATGGCCGACCCCGGGGGGACCCGTGCCCCGGCTGCCGACGCCGCAACACCGGCTGCGTGGGCATTAGCAGCAGCCTCGGCATTTTGTGCTTTGCGTATCAAGCTGGCGGCCTTCTGCTTCATGTTCTCGGGAAGGTCCTCTGGGTCATCGACGCCGTACTGCGCCAGCAGCTTCTGCAATTTCGTAGGGCGTGGCTTGCGCGTGCTCTTAGACACCTCCAGTACCGGCGGCGGGTTCGGGGCGACGGGGCACCACTTGTGCAATTCCTGTCTGAAAAAGTTGGTTTCGTAGGCGAGGAGGATCTCGGCACCCTCGATCTTGCGGAGATAGAATCGCTGCGTGTCTGCCTCTGATTTGGTCGACACGAGTGGGTTGCAAATGCCCGCGACATGATTGCGGAATTCTTGCGCGTTGTCGATGATTTGTTGCAGAACTTCTTCCTCTTCCGGCTGGAAGGGAAGGTTGTTGATCTTGTCGGCCCACGCAAGCAAATCCTCGAGCTTTGGTCGGGCGGCATCTCGCGGAACCTTCAGACGCCAATCGCAGATGGGGCAGGTATACTTGTCCTCGTCCTTGACCTTGCCGCGAGCAATCTTGAGACACTTTCCGTGGTACCTACGTTCGTTAGCCACATAGACTTGTCGAGATGACGACAGTGAACACTCACCATTCATGACATAATTCACACTCGATCATCATGCCGGCCTCGACCTTGCGACAGATGCAAAAAACTTCGCGCACACGAGAATCTTCAAAACGGCTGGCCCTCGCTTCCGGGCTTGCTTCTCGCGATGCGGGTTCGGCTGGAGTCCGCGGCTTGTCGTTGACAATATCGAAGCAATCCTGATTGCGCTCGAGGACATATTCCATGTGACTCTTGAGAATATGCAGAGGGGCGTTTGTCTTGCCGAATAGCTTCTTGCCCTCGCGCATCCAGTCCTCGTGACGCTTTTGCTCGCGACCGAGGTCCAACGTACCGTTGGGCTTCGAGTTGAGGTCTTCCAGCTTTCGCATGATTTCAGCCACTTCAGTGTATTTGGGTCGTTTGCGAATGTCGGGATGACGCGATCTCTCGGTCAAGTCTAGGATCTGGCGGTGGGCTTCCCGCTGCTTGTGCAGAATGGCATCCACAGCGGCCAGGGTCTCCTGAGAGACTGGTAGCGAATTGACCGTGACCTGCGTGGAAAGGGCCTCCAACTGGGCGTAGTGCACAGCCTCCGCATAGATGAGCTCGCGCGCCTTCTTCTCCCATACCTGCCCGGCATGCATCTGGTCGAGATAGTAAGTCAGATGGTCGTTGTAGGATGGTATCTCCAGACGCTGGCCCTCTTCGATGAGCTCTTTGACCTCGTTCAAATTGAGGACAACGCTGCGGCTCCGGCGCGCCTTGTCGTTCCAGTTCAGCTGATCGAGGATACGCGACAGTCGGCCGACCTCGGGGATGTCAACATTGAAAGAGCGGCCCTCTTCGAGGAGCTCCTCAATGACTTCTGCCGTGGCTGTGTGCAAGTGCTCTAACGCCTTGTTTGCGTTTTTCTGGAACGTTTCGATGCCGTCGGCTCGCTCGCGCAGTTGAAGGATCTCAGGGCAGTCGAACCCAATGTGTTCCGCTTCTTGAAGCAGGCGGTAAATGTTGCTCACATCACGGGCGTCTCTTTCCTTCTGGTCCGCAACGGAACTCTTACGATTCGTCAGGCCCTTGTCGCTCTTGCGCCGGTTCTGCTGCTTGCGCACAGTGTAGTTTGTTGCCTCTTCCACCCACTCGTTACATCGATCGACGAACTCTCGCAGTAAAGGCAGCGAAACGAGATCGTAGGGAATGCGTTCGCCCTCGTGAAGAAGAGCACGCAACGACTTGAGAGACGGTGTCGCCTCTTCCTCAAGCATCTTGTCGTACTTCTCCTCCCAGGCCTCAGGCGTGTGCGCCTTCTCCAACACCTTGGCGAAGGTTGCGGCAATAACATCTTCGGCCCTGCGATACAGGAGCACGTGTTGCTCACCAAGATAGCGCTGGGACTCGGGCACGTCGCAGCACGCATGCTGGCCGGCATGTAGCAGGCAAAGAATTTTGCCCGTCTTGGTGCATCTGAAGCGCGATAGATAGCTGAACGCCTTGCAGTAAGAGCAGAGGTAGTCATCCTCTAAAGGCAGGTCAGCTTCCTCAATCTCAAACCCAAGCGGGCAGTCACTGTTGTTGGCGCCCGTGAGACTGCACTTGTGCCCTTGCGACTGAACATGTTTCGAGATAAAGTCTGCTCGAGCTGCGAGCTCACGCTCGTGAATGCGTTCAAGTGCTGGTGCTAGCCATTTTGCCGTCTGGATGGTGAGGCCGTTTGTTGCTGTTCCCTCGGCTGCCGTCCAGAGAAGTGCGTCGTGCGAAAAGCATGGCTGCTTCCTGAAGTCGCGAAGCCTGTTCACGCCGGAAAGACCAAACGGCTCCCAGTCGCAGGGAGCAAAGTTGACGGCCTCGTTGAAGTTGAAGCCGTGGTTGAAGCCAGCATGATATGCCTGGGGGAAAGTAATGACAAATTGTCCGGCTCTCTGGTCCAACGCGAAGACCCTGACGCCAGCCTTCTTGAGTTGCTCCGGCGTCAGAAGTGTGACGAGCTGAAAGAGCAAATCCGGCTGTGTCTCGAACAGCTCAGGCACAGCCTCTCTCATCGCCGCTTCAAACTTCTCCGCGTCTTCCCCGGGGATACCATACCACGTCTTCGTTGCGCCGAAGTGTTGGTAGTTGGCCGAGTACGCGTAGTGATCTTCGTTGTGCCAACAGAATGTTGAGAAAATCATGCCTACGTAGACCCAGGGAACCGTCATGCCCGAGATGTCGGACTTGATATGCCTGAACAGACTCTCAGGATGCAGTGGCAAGAGGTTCAGGTTCCAAGGATCGGTTGAGTATGGGTTCTTTGGATGCTTCTCTACGGTTGGGAAGCCAGAGCCGTGTGTCGTACAGTGGATGTCGGCACCATACTCGACCTCCACCGTCTCTTCCATGTCTGCAACTAGGCGCCAGAATTCGGTTTCAACATCCTCCTCGGTCACTGGTCGGTGGCACTTCAGGACCGAATCGTATGGCATCTTTCGTTCGAAGAACCCTTGTTTGAAGTCGGCAGCCTTTTGTTGGAACTGGCGGAGCGAATAAAGGCCGCCCTCTTCAAATCCATACTGTCCATCGCCTACTAGACAGCGCGGACAGTTCCATTCGGGGTCGACTTTTTGCTTCAGTGGCGGGTCCAGACATGAGCCGTGGTAAGCGTGGTCACACGATTCGCATACGTGCAAAGGGCCCGCCTCATCGGCCTTGCCACAGGTCTCGCATTTCTCGCCAGGCGTTGAGTTCTCATCGCGTGGGGGTCTGGGCCCAGACGGTCGGAACAGAGACATGTGAGAGCCGGCCACCGTGGGCACGGCGTCCTTCTTCAGACGCTTGCTGCGCCTGCTGTTGGCACCATCAGCGTCTTCCTTGGACTCGATCGGGTCCCGTTTGGCGGATTTGAGACTGTCAGAGCTCATCTGACGCTTGAGATTCGTTGCCGGCCCTAGGCCCGATGGACGGTACTCTGGTGTGTTCTTCGCTGAGTTGATGGGGGTGCCGAATGCTCTTGGTGGAGTGCTCGTCGCATCGGCATTGGACTGGCGGTTAACGCTGGTGAAGCCCGAGTTCACCGCCGTGAACCCCCCTGTGTTGATTGCCTTGAAACCAGATGAGACAGGCTGGCTCTGTGGTGCCAGTGGTGTGTCGGACATTGGTGTGTCACGATCAGCCTCTTTCTTCGTGTTGAGTGTCGCTTGGAGCGCATCAGAGGCTTGCCGCGCGGGCGACTCGGCTCTGGCGCTGGACGGTGTGTTGACATTGGATGGCTTGAGTGGCGTGCCTGATGGACTCGGGGTATAAGGTCCGCCATTTTCGAGCTCGAGCTGCTGGTGAACGCCGGGCTTCGCCACTCGGAGGTAGTCCTCGTACGGGCAGAGCCATTTTTGGTACGAGTTCTTGAGCGATGTCGACAATGAGGACATAATTTTGCCGCTGTATCCGAGATCGCGGCCAATTTCAGCCCACTTCTTTCCCTTGCACACCTTCTCAAAGCCGCCACGTGCCTCCACAGCCTTCTTTAA